GCATCCAGCACGACCGGCTTTGGCGTCACTGGGCCGCCATTCTTCGGCGGACGGCCTCGCTTTCTGGGCTGCCCGTCAGCAGTCGTCGAAGCTGCACCCTTGGGCGTCGCTGAGCCGCCGGCTTTGGGTGGTCGACCGCGTCCTCGCGCGGGTGTAGCTGCTGCGTCGTCCGCCATCGCTGCTGGTGCTGGCGCGCACAGAATAAAGTCAGTAAACTTGAGTGAAGCTACTAGCTAGTAAGTAGTTGCAAGCTGGATCCAACGCGATCTGCCGGCGAGAAGGTGGCCGGGCTCGTGGGACAGACAGAGCACAGAATAGCAGTGATAGCAGTATAGGAAGAGCAGAAAAGAACAGTCGCGAGGAGCCCGCGTTGTTTCGTTATATAAAAAGGGAGGAATAAAAAAAAAAAAAAAAAAAAATTCGCCTAAAATAAAGAAGAATAAAAAAAAAAAAATAAAAAAAAAATCGCTTTTTTTTTTCCCTGCGATGAAAAGGCAAAAAATAAAAAATAAAAAAATAAAAAGAAATCCCCTGGCCAGGATCACGGCAGAGAAATAAAATAATAAAAAATATAAAATAAGAGACAGGAGGAACTGGTCATCTTCGCCGGTAATAAAAAAGGAATTTTTGTCGTATTTTATTTTATTTTATTTTTTTATTTATTTTTTAATCTATTTAATCACATTGATTTTTGGTCATTTTCATCCCGACCAGCAGCAAAAGAAAACATCAGCGAGTTGAAATTGCTTTTTGGCTCCCCCAGACCTGAGATGAAGCCCCTATTATTCGTCTTATATCGTTGCTGCCGGACCAGGAAGCATATGCTCAGGATGTGGTGCAGGAGATATGCCGACCAATTCATGTATATAGTAGTATAGAAGGTATATACACGCAGACAACAGCCCAACGAAACGCTAGATGTAGGTACAAACGGACATCCGTATCATGTTCCGGAAGAGCAAGCAACGGGGTATTTCTCTTTCCGGGGGAAAACATAAAGGGCGGGAGGGAGTGAATGGAGATCATTATTATTTATAGACGGATGGGGGAGATGCCCGTGTAGACAGCTAAAAAAAAAAAAAAAAAAGAGAGAGAGAAGACGGCTCGGCTTCACACATGAGCAGTGACGCTGGCGGTTGGGGGTTCATTCTCACTACGAGACAGAGCGGCCTTCTCCAGGTCTTTGGACAGCTCGGCAGTGGTGGCATCAGAGGTCCCGCTTGACTCCTGTTCCGTAGGCTCGGTGTTTTGCTTCCCGTTCAAGCTGGCGGACAGCGGGAGAGTCTTCCGTCTGGTCTCCCCCTTGACGCTGCCGTAGATGTCTATCTTGTCGTCGTGGATTACAACTGGGCCCTTGACGAAGTTGGCCTTTCTGGTTGCTACATCCTGTGTGGCGGCGCCTTCGCTGTCCTCCGGCTGGTCAGCGTACGGGCCGACTCTCTCCACGGAGCCAACGAGGGCTCTCGCTTCTTCATCCAGGTTCGGCATGTCGCCGAAGTCCCAGTCAAGCTTGCCTCCGTACCGCTTCGGGATATTCTCTTCATCCATAAACGAGGAGAGCGTCTTCTGCACCTCGGCGGCAGTGAGTATGAATATCTTTGACGTTGTGCCAGGGTCAAACCAGCGCTTTATCCAGCCCCAGACTGTGGGGAAGAAGACAGGAGCGCCAATAATCTGGTAGTAGTAGTTAGCAAACAGGGCGTCTCGTATACCAATCGTCAGGTGAACAGACTTACAAATATTCTATCAAGGGTCTCGGGGTAATGTGCAGTAGCCAAGGTGCTTGCGTCCTGCATATGACCCTTCAAATTCCAGAACTGCTTCAAGCCAACTCCGGTTATATCAACAATATTCGTGGTATTGACTATAGGCACCTCTGGGTGTGGCCGGCTCAGGCGTGAGCTCAGTGGCAGCACAAACCGAACCATGTTCTCGTACAGCGCAAAGAGACGGAGAAGACGCGCCGGCACCTTCGACGAAGTATGTGTCGCTGAGGTAGCGGTAGTAGCTGCAGACGAGGAGTAGGCCGTCATGTTCTTGCTATTTAGATCCTTGATGGTGTAGACATAGATCGGTATGCCTCTGCGATCTCGTCGTCCGGTCCATTGCGGATACTGTTGACCCAATGCCACATATATATATCAGCCTCTGCCGGTCCCAGAAGGAAAACACACCTGTAGTAACTGACCACTTTGCGAGCTTCTTCGTACGAGTCTACGTCGAAGTTCTCGTACAGCTTATTGATCTCGTTGTCCCGGCGCCAGTCCTCCGTCGCCTGGAACTGGCCCAGGGCGCCGTTAACATCGAACCTGCGAGCCCGGAGGAACCGTCTAGACAACTGTCAGCTATCCTCTTTTCATTCCATTCTGCTTGTTCTCCCCCCCAGTTTGCACGTACAGCAAAGTCGAGTCGTCGTGGCTCGCCGCCTGGCCGTCCTTGGCCGGCGTATATATGTTGCGCTCTACGCACTGCTGCTTAAAGGCCTCGAGAGCCTCCGCCTGCTTCTCGGACAGATGGTTCAGATGGCCGGACAGGGGATCGGACGTGCCAGCGCTCGCCGTTGACTGGTTGGTCTCCTGCTTGTCGAGCTGCGGCGGCTGCTTGGCCGTGTTTGTCGTGTCTTCGAGGGACATGCTGGTGTAGTTAATAGCTCTTGGGTGATATAGGGCGGGCTCGACAGCGGCCGGCGGTACAAGCCAGACAAGTACATAAACAGGCTGGACAGGCGGACAGACAGACAGACAGGGCCGGTCGGGTCAGGGATTCGCGATGCCGGTCATTTAAGTATGAGAAGGAGAGAGAGAGAAGAATCTCGGAGTCGCAAGCCTGCTGGTACCGACGGCTCTTTTTTCGTCCGGAAGCCACGGCTCCATTCCACACTTCAGCGCCTTATGTAACTTAACCTCTAGGGTTGAGGCTGGGATCCACGGTTGGGTTGATCAGGCTGGTCAGGTAGCCGGCGAGCGGGTAGCCGGTGGGCAGAGGATGGCTCCGTCGAGCGCGTGTTATACGACGGGAGGCAGAGTCATCGCCAGGGACTCTCACTGCTGGCCTGCAGTCCCGGGAGTTGGAGGCTGGCCCTGGGGTCAGGGGCTAGGTATCACAACGCCGACGCCACAAAGCCCGGCCAGGCTGGAGGGGGAGATCCTAGTAGACGTGGGAGAGCTATGGAACTATGGTAGAACTATGGAGAGAGTGCATACGGGAGGAGTTCGGAGAAGCATTATACTGTGACATCATTCTCGCTATGCAGTGGTTAGATGTAGTTTATTTTTTATTATTGTTTTTTTTTTTCTTTTTTCTTTTTTTTTTTTTTCGATACCCCTTTTCCAAATACTCTGCAATAGAGTGTATATATATATACGAAAAAACGACATTAACTGATTTAATCCTCAGTGATGTCACCGTATTCCCACATTCCTCTTCTCTCCTGCTTTGCTTCATCCTCCAGCTTGCGAAGGTTGGCCAGCGTATCGACGCATGCACGCTCCCACGGCTTCAGCTTGCGAGGGACCATCGCCAGACCCTCACGCACCACCTCGGCGTTGATGCTCTGCTCCAGGTTCTGAGAGGCAGAGGCATCCAACAGAGTGACGTATAAGACACCGTCAGCGGTGTGGTCGACGTTGGCTACCAGCTCCCGGTCGACCGTCTGGCTGGCCAGGAAGTGTATGGCGTCCTTGAGGTACTCCGGGGAGGCAGGGAACTGCAAGAAAGACATAGCAGCATCAACCGCCTGCGGCTTCAGCTTCTGCTGGGAGAACTGGGGAGCAAGCGGCCGTAGTCTTGACCATGGGACCCTCTCCGAGTTGCCGTAGTCGATATACACGACATCAGACGCCTTGGCTTCTCGGTCGTTGCGTCGGACCTTAGCACGGTACCACTCGTTATCCTCCGAAAATCGAGCAGCAACCAGGTCTCCAGCCTTGGGTGGACCATCAAGTGGCTTGTCGTTGGCCTTGTTGATGTGGAACGCTCGGAAAGAGTCCATCAGCTCTGTGAGACCAGTGGTGCCGGCTCCAATCTGCTGTAGTTTCAACTTGCCATCCTCATCAACGTGTGTGAGCATCACGTCACGGTAATCTCGTCCTCGTGCAGGTGCCTCCGTGCTAGCTCCAGCAGCGCCACCAGTGGCTGCCGGAGCGCCTTCATCGTCCTCTACATCCTGACTGGGATCCCAGTCGCGCCAGAGACCCTTTCTGGCCTCCTTTGCCTTCTTCTCGGCTGCAAACAGTTCCATTCCATGGCCAGACTGCTCGGCGGAGTAGGCGTGGACTGTTGCAAGACCTTCCTCCACTAGCAATTTGGCAAAGTTCTCCCTGTTGACGTAGAGGGTTCCGATAAAGCCACCAACCTTGTCAATAGTCTCAACGTCAATCTCGACGTCTCTCTGCATGCATCTACGGTTAGCAAAGTCGTGGGCCTCCTGTCCAAAGGGCTCGGACTTCTCATTAGCGTTCCTTGCAGACTTGGGCGCCCGGATTCCAGAAAGGACAAAGGTGAGCTTAGCATTGTCTCGTGGTATCAGGACAGTGAAACGCGATCCAGACTTGACAAAGTCTACCACACCAGAGACCTTCTTTTGTCTCTGAAGGACAGAACATTCCATCTTGGCCTTCTGGACGCTCTCGGAGTAATCCTGGAACTGCTTGACCTTGGGAGGCTTGGGAGACCACATGCCTTTCTCCTCCTTCTGTGCCTTCTCTTCGGCGAGCAGGAGAGCATCATAGTCGGGGGATCGGTCATCGTCGTCCCTACGGTGCCGGATGACAGACGCATAGCCAGCCTCTACCAGACTGACGGCCACATTGGCATTGCCAACCAAAACGGTACCAACCTCTCGTTCCTCAAATCCTTCAGAGGCAGGCTTCTTTCCGTTGATGGTGACTTTGACGTGCTTGCCAATCAGCTTTTTCCGGAGGAACTCTTTGGCATCTGCTCCAAATGGCGCCTGCTTAGGGTCTGATGGCTTTGGCTGTCTAATACTGCTCAGACTTATCTTCTTCTCAACACCAGCTTTATTTCTCAGAAATATAGTATCCGCGTTCAAAATCCTGCTAACCACTAGATCAGTATCTGCAGCCGCAGCCGCAGCTTTGGGAGCAACGTGGCTAGTAAATAGCCCCTTGCGAGCATCCTTGGCGGACTTCTCTGCCTGTCTAAGGATAGCCATATCGGCTCCCAGCAGCGTAGAATGGTGGTCCGCACATCTTGCGAGACCAGCCTCCAGAAGGAACTTGGCAATATTTCCAACAGGATGTAGAACGGTACCCACGAGCTGGTTCTGGGGTGTCAGTCCGAGTAATGTGACTTTGACCTTTCTCTGCAAAAGTCTCATTTCAACAAACATCTGTGCCTGGTCACCATATGGCTCGCCCGGTTGCTCTGATCCATCAGACGGGTTCACCCGTTTGGTAGCTGGAGCACGAATGCCAGCTGCAACCACCAGTGTCTGCACATGCTTCTTGGGAGAGATAAGCAGCCGAATCAGGAACCTGTCACCGCTCAGGACCTTTTCCACCACGGAATCAATTGGAGTCCCCTTCAAGCTATCAAGCAGCTCCTGTGGATCTTTCACCTCATACGCCATATTAATCTTATCGTCTCCCGCCCAGACGCCCTTCGACTCCGACTTGGCATGAGACTCGAGCTCCCTCAGGCTGTTCAGCAGCACCGCTGCATCCTCGCTCTCGTCTCGTCTGCCAGCATCTTCTCGAACCTTGGCCCAGCCTTCAGAGACACAGAGCTCTGGTAACTCCTTGCCATTGGCACCGGGAACCTTCACGATTCCGTACTCCCTTTTGGCGCCGGTGGGGATGGCATACAGAACCTGGAACTGTACTACCTTGCCGACGAGAAGCTCACGCAAGAATTCCCGAGATTGGAACGCAAACGGCTAGTGGAAGACAATATTGGATCAGCAGCCAGTCTTGAAATAGATTATGTATGTAGGGGAAGAGGCGTAGTTCTGCAGCTTGTCCAGGTGTGTTGTTGTACAGACAGCTAGCATATTCAACAAACGCTTGCTGGTAAATTAATAGCAAAACGAAGAGCTCACCTCGTCCCCTTCTCGCTTCAGTCTCGGAGCAGAGACATAGGCCAGGCTCAAGATGCGTTCCTGGGCTGGATTCGAGACGTGGGTGAGCACCACTGTGTCCCCTGACAAGACGCTCTTGACTCGGGCTTCCAAAAGAGGCATTGTGGCGTGTGCAAGGGGAGAAAATAGCTGGCGAGCAGTGGCTTGTTTCTTTTTTTTTTTTTTTTTTTATTTAAATAGGATAACAATAAGTCTAGGAAAGAGGAGCAAAGCAGAGGCTCGCTGAGTCGAGATAGAGCTTCTAGGGGGGGGGGGTGAAGCCGGGGGAAGATGTTGTGTAGTCGTCAGTGTTAAAGTGACCACGTTTTGGTGATTTGTGTGTTTGGCCTTTTTTGTCTGGCCCGCAACGAACTTGTTAACTTGCAGGGATGGGGCAGAGGGAAATCCGGGGTCAAGCCACATCGCTAACAACGACCGCCGCCAGCAGCATCAACATCGTTGTCAACAGCTTCATCCATGATGTATAAGACTACTTAAATGCTGCTGTTTATTTATTTATTTATTTGAAAATGATACCCAGTGACAACAGACCCAGTGACCTATGGCCATTTGCTTAGGGGACAAGAGCAGCCATGATGTCTTAGGCCGGTAACAGAGTCTGATAGCTGGTAGAGACGGCCTTTATTCGGGACTCATACCTAGTCTATATGGAATAAGTCTAAGGATAGCACTGGCACAGAGTATTTCGCAGCCCTGAAGCTTCTTCAGTCTGGACCAAATGGGTCAATATAAAAATTCGACCTCCCAAAACTAAGCCAGTTACACCGGCTGCAAATACTATCTAGCCATTTCAGCCTTGTTCATGTGCATCGTCGGCCGATCGAAGCTCTGAAGGAAGCCATCCCGTGGCCGTTTTAATAACAGCTTCAAGGGTGCTGACACTTTAATCCATCTCCGCTTCGTCCGTGCTGCTGTCACAGCCGCCGCAACCCCTGTCGGTCGAACAACATCGTATAACGGGATGAATGGCGTTATCAAGAATGCTTGGTACGCGATGTCATCAGGCTCTACAATACCGGAGTTAGAGGAATCTTGGCTTTGTCTTGTCTTGAGGACTTGTGATTTGATAAACTGCTATATTAACAGCCTTATGCGAAGGGGGGGTATTATTCATTAGAAATCACAACGCCTCCCGTGTAAAGAGAAAAAAAAAAGGAAAAACAGTCAGCATGTATATCTGTCGTTAAAGTAGAGAGACAAAGAAAAGAGAAAAAGGAAGAAAAGAACTATAAAACAAGAATCTAGCTCAATAGTTGATTAGGAATAATGTATATGGCATATTTCTCGTAGGCTGAACGCTAACCGCCAGATTGGAAGGACGGACGAATGGATGGATGGATGGATGGGGGGTGTGGTAGGTAAAAGAATAAGAAGTCCTCCGATATGCTATCCAGCTCGCTTATTAAACGCCTCAAAACGTACCCTCCCGTCCATACACCATGAGGTATAAGAGAAAAACAGTAACGTGATTTTTGAATGCTCGTTAAAACGTAACAATCATTGAGTACATGGGTACGTAGTATGTATATCCCCCGGCATCGTCGACGGATGAGGATGTACTTGCATCCCATCAAGAAGCGGAAAGGGGTTATACGCCATGGCCAGATAGGGCTGTTCTATTGATATCGTATCAGTGGTGATGGGCGGAGGTGGAGCAGCACCACGGAATCGTTGTAGTATGATACTCGAGTCTGCGTCTTGTTTTGTGCCTCTGGTGTCCTCATCTTGAGAGCTTTCTGTCTGTCCAGCAGATGGTGTAGGTGTATACGAAGCTCCGATATGGAGGCCCTCGGGTAATAGTGAAGCAACCTGTAACTCGTGGTTTTCAAGGTTACATATCCGAATAACAACCTCAATCACTTTGCGGACTTGCAAAGCCACGAGGTAGGTTTGTTCCAGCTCGAGTAATGTGCGGACACATACTATCAGACAGTGGAACTCCCTGCTGACATCTGAATTCCGTCTTTCTGTTATATCGGCGATAAGCGTTGTTGAGACAGTCGATATTATGTGCAGACTTATACCGCTGAGAGTGGTTGCGTTGCCATAGTTGGCTCGGTAGTCTTCCATGTATCGAGTGGCATCCATGGCATGTTTGACACAGATGAGGCGGAATTGGGATGAGTAATCGCTTCTTTCCGACGCTTCTACGCCGAAATTCGCGAGAGGCCGATAGAGTAAGATGACCGCGGCACAATACTGCATGCTACAAACCGTAAGTATGTGAAATTTATCGCCCGACAATTGTACCAGGCGGGGGAAAGGGCGCCATACTGCATAACTGAGACTGAGGGCGGTGAATTGCTTTGGTATTGCAGTGACGGGTCAAGCCCGCTGTACCACGTCTTGAGACGGTCACCCAGCTCGTTGACCCGACTCATAGTACATTTATTTTGATTTCTGTTCAGTTCAGTTAGCCCCTTGCTTGAGGAAAAACTGGAATAGTTGGCTAGCGGGTACTAACAAAGCTTCACAGATGAACCCGACGATTTCGAGTAAGCTGCTCCATGCATCAGCTAATCGGGCTTCCCATGTTGCTATCATCCCGCTCACAGCTGCCGTCGCAGCTGGTCGAGGTACTGTCACTTCTCCGTCAAGCCTTAAACAATACTGGCGGCCAAGGTAGAGCGACCATAGCCTGCGTAAAGAACGTTAGCATGCTATGTTTATAACAAAAGTACGTCAATAGTGCAGGGGGTTTTACCTGTCGAATATGACGCAACCCCAAAATGCAATCGAGCGTGCCTCGATGTCCATTGGGGAGAACTTGTCTGTGAAGGACGAGCAATCACGATGTAAACCCAAATCTATAGCCAATCGGCATGCAGTCCCTGAAAGCGGGTCATCAGTTAAACCATTTATCCTTTGTGTCCCCTGTCATCGACAAGAAAACATACCTGTCAAAACCCAGCCTTTTGTGTCCTGGGAGAAAGCACAATAAATCACTGATAACAGTAACAAACACTGGATGGTTGTGATTTGCGGGTGTTTCAACTCCTCATCCACAAGTTTCGATGCAGCAGCGAATAGAGGCGGGAGTTCATCAGATGCCGAGAGTCCGGGCGTCAAAACCATCGCACGGATCTCAGGCCTATGTGAAATGCGAGCGGCACAGGCCATGATACAGTACAAAAGCGCTTTGCTGTAAAACTTTGTCTGACCCGTTGCCATATCACGAAGGAATGCATCTTTGTGAAGGACTTGAAGCTCGGTGTGTTGAAACTTCCAGTAAAGGTTCAGCAAGTACTCTTGGGTTTCGGCATCGATCTCGCAAACCTCAATCTTGGGGTTAGTAGTTGGGTATTCTCCCCAAGACCGAACGATAGATGTTGCCACTGTATCAGTCAGGTGTAAACTGGAGGTTGGACCGAAATATCGCAGCTGTCCGTTAGAGTCATAATTTAGCTGGTATCGCCCATCGCAAAGACGTGCGATGATGTTATCCGGCACCTTCTGCCGGAGCAGGGATACCGGAGATTCCGGTGGGGAGAACTGCGCAATCCCGCGAATTGTATGGAAATTTTGTGCCTGAGCTTTGCGTAGGGCCTCGCTCTGCTTCAGAGCAGCTTCTAAGTCGTGGATGCGTTGGTGTAACTCGCGAATGTGTCTCTTGGAGGAGGGGCGTTTGCGTTCGTCCACCTCAGGGCCTGGGCAGGGGATTCCAAGTTTCTTGCATTTCTTGCAGCCTCCCTCTTCGAGCAGGCACTTTATCTTCTTAGAGCGGCAATTAAGACATGCCAACGTATAGTTTGATCCAGTACCCTTTGTCGAATCTCTCCTTCCCTGAGCTATGGATGACCGCTTCGGAGGTAGAGGTAACTGAGCTACCGACTGCCGTCGCGGCGGAGTTGGAGGCTCCAGGGCAGGAGTGGCCTGGATAGGAGGGTGGATAGAGGAAATAGAGAATGGCTGGCGGGCAGCCGAGAAATGAGAAAGCTGCTCTTCCGGTTGCTGTTGCTGTTGCGGATGATGCAGTTGGCTGAAACCTGGAGGGGCGTCACTTTGCCTCGGGAACGCCCATGTCTGTTGACGTCTCTGAAGCGCATATAGGACATCATCTCCGTCCACGACAGGAGCCGGGAAGCTGGGGATTGGGACGTTGCGAGGGTCCATTACCACCGTTTTGAGGGTGATGGCATTCTTTGGAAGCTGAGTCCCTCTATATCGTGCAGAATCCGGTCTAGTTGCTATATAGTTGTGTTGCTGACTATTGGCTGGTTAGATTAGTGTCGCAGGAAGACTGTCCCTCAGTATGTGACACCCAGAAATTTGTATCCCGAGGCCTTCTTCTCCCCAGGGAGTAGAGTGTGTCAGGGAAAGAATCGGCCGTCCTTTCGAAGGTGTGAAATACCTGGCGGATATTGTCAGGATGCTGATCACTAAGCCTGGGCCCGTTTCTTGACGCAAGGACCGAAGAAATTAGAACAGCAAGGGTAAAATTATATATTTGTTGGTATGGAAGGCATGCAGCAACACGTTGGATGTCTGCAAGTCATGGATGAGCACCGGCCAGAGTGTGTGTGTGCGGTTCCGGTTCCCTTGCTCCTTCAAAAATAGTTTATCAGCCCAAGGTATGACAAGAAAAAAAGCTCCAAAGGAATAAAAAGACAGTCCCAGCTCCCACGATTCTGGGACAGCATGGACGGCGGAGACTTCAACCTATTATTCCAGCAATCAAGCTCTCGCGCAAAAAAGCAAATGCGGAAACCGTCCTTGAGTCGCTGTATTTGCCGGTAGATGAACTCTGCAGCTCATGATTCATGTCCAGACCAATCTTGGGAGCCGATTCTTGCTTGGTCCTTGGCCGGCCTTGCTGCTCGAAACCCAAACTGGGTCCCAAGAGACTGCCCGAGAGGGGCAGGGCCAGGAGAGGAAAAAAAAAAAAAAGAAAAGGTGAAAAAAAGATGTTCAAACCGCGTGCGAATGCGGACATTGGTTGTGGGACTTGAGCAAAGACCGCCTTCTCCGTGGTAACGCTTTCCAATCGACGTGAGAGTTGATGGCAAATCAAGGGATTAAGCGCGGCCTCGGAAGCAAGAGAACCCCGAGGTTCATAATTTATGAGCGGAATCCATGCCATAAAGCTTTAATCATGCTTCTGCCCCCGTTTTTGTGGCGCGTTGAGGCTGGTTAGATTTGGTATGCAGTGAAGGATTCGATTGGTCTCTGTTCCTCCTTCATAGGCGAGCTGATTGCCATTTCGATACCCTTGTTCGACGTTAGTTTGTGATGGCTGATGATCCATGTGACGCTTGCTAAGATGCTGAGCCCCGTAACTTCTCCGTTCCAGAGCAGCGTATCTGTACGGGCAGGTTCGTATTCCAACTCTGGTAAATGCGAAGAAAAAAGAAAAAAATATATATACCTCGCTCTGTACGTATGTACGAAGTACAACGGCTTCCATACTAGGGTGGCTGCAGAACATCCGTGCCGAATGTTCCGCTATGGTGTTGAGCTGAGAATCCTTCTCGTCTCTCGAAACAAAGTCGCCACGCTTTGACAAAAAGGCATAGTTATCAACCAAGCCTCGGCTGGCTGAAATAGAGTCTGGGGGAAAACGGCGAGCCATTGTGAGCTATCTGATATGATATGCGGTGCATCAGTGCATGGCGTCGATCCTGCTTCGGACTATTCAAGAGGCGTAACTAACTCACAACTCGAATCAGGCAAGGAACGGACTTAAGGTACGGAGTATAGCTCTCAGGAACATGTACCACCCACGAGCTAAATTGAAGCTGAAATGAAGCTTACAGCAAGCTGACAAACGTGACGATTGACAGAGACGCCTGAGGTTGATGAAGCAGCGTTGGAATTGGCGTTGTCGTTGAAGTTGAAGTTGAAGTTGACCTTGAGAGATAAACTTGTATGTTCTGCACATGATTTTCCTGATGAGGTGTGTGCAAAATGTCCAGATCGGGAAATTCACGACGTCCAGCGACTTTCTCGCCTGGAGACAGCAGAATCAAGACTAGCTATTCGGCCACGAGACGACGATGGGTCAAGAGTGTCATCGTAGATCCGGATAGCTTGCAAGGCATATCACTCGCACAGGGTTTATGCGCCTATGTATGATTAACGCTTCATAGTTTGTACTCTACGCTTCATGAGTAGTATGCCAAAAGATGGGTGGCTGTCATATCAACTTCATTAATTATATAGTATTAACTTCACATTTTCTTTTTCTTTTTGTTCCTTCTCCCCATTACGCCCTATATAACTAGTTATTCGCCACGTACCTCCCGATTCTAGATCGGTAGACGCACGGAGCAAGCGTTAATGGGTGGTCTCTCAAGCTGAGATACCAATGACACCTATATATACTGGTTAGTGATATTTTTGACTATGCTAAGCCTAAGAAGTATCAGAACATACCACAGGCAGGACGGGGACCAGCGTTGCCAGTCTTCAAGGACTCCTCGTTTCCACCTTTGCCAAGGTCATCAGTGCCTGCATGGCAGACAATGGTACGCTAGACGCCATGTTAGCTATGATAGCCCGCCGTGTACAGAACTACAGAAGGGGAAATGACATACGCCAACAACGCTGTGTTCACCGATCAGCTTGACAAGCTGGTCCTGAACGGACCCGACCGCGTTACCCTGAGGATCGGTGGTGATGTTGCCCAAGTCACCAACGTGGCGGACCTCATCGGTGGGAGCACCGTGGGTCTTACCAAAGGGGTTGACTAGACTCCATATATTAGCAGCCGCACATCACCCAGCATACTTATACCTAACCTCACGCCATCCACATCAACGAGGAAAAAAAAAAGTATTGCATCACAACTTACAGTGAGGGCCGGCCGATGTGCAGCCGTTGGTGTTGTCACCGAACTGGTGGATGTGGAAGCCACGCTGGGCGTTGGGATCATGGCCGGTGATGTTCCATGAGATGGTGGTGGGCGCGTTCTCCGACTCCTGCTCGAAGGTGACGGTGCCCTTGACGTTGGAGTCACCACGGACGACGGCAACTGCTCGGCAAATAACAACAACGCAAGAAGGCGTCAGCTCAGCGGGAACCTAAAAGGTATTTATAGTCTTCGTGTCTCTCTCCCTCCACCCCGGGTCTACCTTGAGAGACAAGAATCGACCGGCCGGCGGACGCTGGCGTACGCGAGGGAGAGAGAAGAGAGAGTCACAGACCGGCAGCCAGTCCTGCTCAAATTCTCTCACCAGGGCGGCGACAGGGATGGAGGAAGAGGCGGGAGATGCGACGCTGCTTAGCTCACCTGCTTTGACCATTGTGGAGGTGTTTGTTTAGATCTTCTTCCTTCTTGGACGCTTTAACCGGCGATATTTTGATGGTCGGTGGACAGGACGAGAGAGGACGAGAAGGTGGAAAGGACGGAGGATGAGGGAAAAGGCCTTGTTTGTTCCCCCCTCGTAAGCAGAATCCGGCCGATGGTGGGGGTGGACATGTAAACATCCGGCCTCGCCCTTCTTGCGCTCCATCGCTTTCTTCCTGCTCGCTCCCGGCGGCCGGCGAGATGCCGCTGCTCGAGGACTCTTTTTGACACCCGTGACTACATGACAGAGAAACTGCTGCTTCAATTGCCTACAACTTCTCTATCTACCAGCCATCTATCTATCAGCCTGTCTATTCTTTCATTTTCTGCTTTCAATCTTCGTCTTCGTCTTCCTCTTCTTCTACTTCAGCTTCGACTTTTGTTCTTCCAGCTTTATCCGATGACGTAATAGTCTTGCCCCTCATGCTGACTAATTCATTACACAAACATATCACGTGATTTAAAGTTTTTCTGTTTAGGGAAAGCCGCTGATTGGTTCTTTCGAGTTTCTACTGCAAACTGTTCACATTTCTATAAGGGGGTTTCATACTCGGTTAGATACATATTTGGATTTTAGGGAAAGCATTTTCGTAATATAATCGCTGCAGTCGCATGTCAATCTGCCGCCTCTGCGTATGACCGAAGGGCGGAAAAGAGAAAAGAAAGGGACAAAGAAGACGTCAATTTATAAGTAGCGGATCGAGCTTTCGCTTATGCGGAGGCCTGGATCTTCTCCTTGATGATGCCCTTGAGGGTGACGGCATCAGCGGCAAACTTGGAGATACCTTCTCGAAGCTTCTCGACGGCCATCTGCTCCTCGTTGAAGTCGAAGCGGAAGAGAGCCTCGTCATTCAGGTAGCTGCGCTTGGGGATGTCAAGGTTAGCGGCACCGGCGGGGTCGAGCTTCTTCGGCACAGCGGCGTTGGAGTTGTAGAGCTCCTCAAGGAGGTTGGGCTAGTGAAAAAAGTTTCATATTAGTATTTTTTTTTTTTTATTTGACCTGGATATCGACGCTGACTGGACGAAGGGAAAACATACGGAGATGGTCAGGTAGTCGCATCCAGCTAGCTCGGTGATTTCACCAGTGTTTCGGAATGAGGCGCCCATGACAATGGTTTTGTAGCCGTGCTTCTTGTAGTAGTTGAAGATGTTCTGCACGCTCTTGACACCTGGGTCCTCCTCGGCGGTGTACTCTCGCTTCATGGCAGCCTTGTACCAGTCGAGAATTCGGCCGACGAAGGGAGAGATCAGGTAAGCACCAGCCTCGGCGGCAGCGATGGCCTGAACCAGAGAGAACATGAGGGTCAAGTTGCAGTTGACACCGTGCTGGGACTGCAAGATGTGGGCTGCCTGGATACCTTCCCAGGTAGAGGCGACCTTGATCAAGATTCTGTCCTTCTTGATGCCGACGGACTCGTAGAGCTGCCATCTAGTGAGTACTTACCCCTCAATTGATCGGTTCAGTTTAGGGAGTTTGAACATACCTCGATGATGCGGAGGGCCTTCTTGACGGAAGCCTGGGTGTCGAAGGAGTAGTGGGCATCAACCTCGGTGGAGACCTTTCCTGGAATGATAGCGAGGATCTCCTTTCCGAACTCAACGAGTAATCTGTCCAAGGCAGCGTCGACTTGTTCATCAATGTTGGAGCCCTGCCATATCTGTTAGCTGCTCGGTGTTCCATTTCATCGTTCACGGATAGGCGGGCCGGCTTCAAACGTACATTCTGCTTGCCATAGGAGATGGCAGCATCGATCAACTTGGCGTACTCTGGCTTCTTGGAAGCAGCGAGGATAAGGGAAGGGTTGGTGGTAGCATCCTGAGGCTTGTATTTGCCGATAGCTACAAGTTGGGAGACTTATGTTAGTCACTCACTGATATCACGGAATCAACGTCGACAGCTTGACCAGTACCGCTTCAAGCTATACGGCTTCCATGGGTATCACTTACTTGCAAAGTCACCTATATCAGCCCAGCAGCTTCGTGTTAGCCCATATGTTCTCTAAACCCGGATGAATGCCCCTCATCCGGCCCCTCATTGCTCATCACTCATGATCTCAACCGCTCGAGTCTTACCGGAGTCGCAAACGACAGTCTACTCTATCATCAGCCAGAGTTCCAACGGAGGCAAATTGCAGGAATTGCACGAAAGGCACCAAAACTTACCGTGCCAGAGGCCTTCAATTGATCAAGAGAGGTAGACATCTTGGTACAACGTATAGAAACGCCAACTTGTCCGTTCTGTGTAGTCGCGGGAGGCTTCGGGGTCGATTCAGCAGGTCAGTCCGGCTGTTACTGCGAAGATGGAGATGAAGAATCGTTCTGTGTCCAGATGAGATGGAAGATGGATGAAGGTGAACTCCTGAAGCGGGCGCCGTGGTTCATATAAACCTAACGTCGACGGAGGTGGCAAGCTCTCTTTGGCTGGTTGGCTCACTAAGCAGCTCGCAGTCTCTTCCTCTTTTTCCCTGGTGGGGCTGGGCTCCCTCTCAGGCGTAACCCCGCGGAAAGCGTCTCGGTTGAGCTTCCGCGGCGCTTATTTCTTGGGATATAAAAAGACTGCCACCGGAAAGCGAGAGTTTGATGGCAGCTTTAACTAGCGTCGTAGCTAAAGGCTGAAAAGCAACATTCTATCAAGTCAATGGAACAGAGGTCGTCGAGCTCTTGGGTGCTGCCCTCTTTTCTCCCATGGCCGAGCTGGCTCATCTGTGACTCCGTGAGGAGCCGCATACTGCCTCCATCACAATCAAATGACCCGAGATATCCCATCGCCGAGTATTCCGCTAATTAACAAAGAGTCACATTCGAGGAAACACGGTTGGAAGGCTCAAACTTTAAACTGCCTATATGCAAGCGGTGAAGTGAGAAACTAGAGGTTTGATTCGCTGGTTTTAGTTCTGCAGTCAACCGCTATTTGGAAACATTAGCATTTGATCTCCTAGCTAGTTGCATCACAGTGTATGTGTAACGGGCCTTCCAGGACCAGACCAACGATATGGAGAAGCGAGCCCTGGAACAAATATCGGCTAGTATAGCTAAGAGCAGCCCGGAGAGGGTTGGAGCTAGTTAATACAAGCAAGCAGTTGACCCCAATTTCTATTTCGTGTACTCTCCCCGCTCAACTGTTTATTTCCTGACATCCTTTTACATACCATGGCTGCTTTGGCCATAGCTCTTACCAACTCTGCAGACCGTTCGATTGCGTTGCTAGTTACTAATATCAATCACATTCTGCCCTCTAACGAAAAAGCTGACGTTCCGAGATTTCCCGGTGCCATGGAGGCCAAATCTACAGATTCAATGTTCCTTTGATTCTCTGACCGAGTCCTAAGAGCATTGTCTATTTCTCAAAGTAAATCAATTTGGGCCTGAATTTCCTTAACAATCTCTAGACAATCTAATACCAATGGAAATCCTACGTTGGTCTGGCCAACGGGTTAGGCTCTTGAGGCTCTCACAAGAGCCGATGAGCAATGGCGTAGAGTAGCAATATCATTTCAGTGGTGATTTTGAGTTACAATCTATTCTTCCATGTTTTTTTAAAGGCCCTAGCAGGAACGCAGGCCTGCATACGGATGAATCTTGAAGTCATAACCTCAGGACTCATAATTTGGTACATAGTTTGCTAGGATCCGACACTCATCTGTCGTTCTGGTTGTTTTGATTGTATGCGCGAAGTGGTTTAGATTCCATTAGTTCCGCTTTAGGCTTCTCCTTTAGATAAGGTCACCCAAAGTAATGCCACCAAATGACCTTTCGTCTCGATTCTAAATCCGGCGGTGCTGAGAATTTGTTGTTGTGACACGACCCATTGAGAGGTATTCTCACGTATGTCAGCACCTTGCCCCCAGAAAGCCAGATAGTATAGCTAGTCATCAACGCAGCTCTACGTCATAATCACTACTTCTACACCCAATAACTTTTCTAATAGATTGATTTATTCACACTCAGGGCCTGGGCTGACAACAAACTGGTAAAAAGGTAAAAATGGAGGGAGGGGGATTCCCTGGCACCTGCAACGATCGATCTCTTCTTCTAGACATTTTGTTTGACTACAGGAATTTTAGCATAGAGATCTACCGCTAAAGTCTATAGACGTCAAGCTTTGAGTTGATGCATCAATGTCACCGCCATAGAATGGACAGTGGGTAGCAATGAGGTTACCCAGACGTGGAGAGTCTGGCCCGGGCCAGGATATAGCTCGAAAATTTAGTTTGTTACCACTGAAATCTCTTCCGGTTCTTCCGGTACTAATGCGAAGAACTTTCTAAAGATATTGAGAGACGAGCTGATGTCCGCAGTAAAGGGAAAGGTTACAGCCTCAAAAAAAGTCCGAGTAAATGAGATATAGTCGAGAATGCAGACAAGGTTAGGGGCCGCGCCGTCGTCTTGGCATTATCAGCTAGGACCCACTCCTCTGGTTCACTGCACCGAAATCGTATTGCAAATATGAAATTGGGATTCATAGACAAAATCCAGCTTTGATCCATAGTGTCTGGCTACGTCCGATGCTTTTCGATGTGGGATACAGTAATTTGTCAAGAGTCGATAGCGGTAATGCACATCTTTCATCCTATTAAACTAAGGAATCGCATTTTCGTCTTTAGCTAGGGTAGGGCACTACACTGTAGCAGCTTCGATCTTGGGACAAAAACGTGAATGCAGATTGTGGTAACATATATTTAGACTACTACCTCTGTGTTGGTTTATAATCGGGCGGTATACAGGAGAGATTCCATAGAAGGTTTTGGCCAGCTCCTGTAGTTGTTGGACCTTTAATAATAGACCTTCTATAAACTAACTGCAAGAGTGAGCTGGATATCAAATGGCTGTGAACAATATGAGCACTTATCGTAATCATAATCGTCTATAATATAAACAAAAAGTGCAAACCAGCAGCTCCATACGCACGAAGTTCTAACGGCGCTGCACACAATTCCACTCATAAACTTGCCCCGACTCGTCACCCGTATATACAACATGTGAGAGGGGAAGAACACATGTAATTCCTGCAAGAGCTGCTGCTCCATCCCCACGCGAAGTGTTTACGTGATGTAGCTGGCGAACGAGATCCAGCTCAAACACCCCATTTCTGATGCACTTGCTCCATATCTATATCATCCACAATTAGTAACTATAATTGGTAAAACAAAGAAGACAGTGTGCACCGAATCGATCACTTACGTTCACCAGTCCTTTCCGATGGCCAGTAAAAAATAGTTCACGCTCTAACCACTCATTGCCAACCCCTTCATAGAAAGCACAGGAGAGGACGTTATCATCCGACTGTTCGCAGACGGGTCTTTCGAGAAGAAGAGTGCCGTTTAACGTATAGAGACAAACCATATTGCTACGGCAAACGGCGATATTTCCAGTTACATCATTTATCCGGGCACACTAAAGGGTGGAGTTAGTCAAAGGGTAGTCACCAAGAATTCGGAAATAGAATCTTACGCTAATTGGAGGGCCAGTTGATAACTCTCTCAAAAACTCGAGTCGGTTTAGATCCCACAGCATGACTTGACCATCTTTGGAAGCAGATAAAATCGTGCTAAATGACCTTGAAACAGCAAGGACGGTGACTGGTGACCGATGACCAAAGAGAGAGGCTTTTGGCAGTAGATCGACGGATCGAGATGTCGATGTGAATGACCAAACGGCTATGGTGCAATCAGTGCCAGCAGTAATCAAGGTCTGGGAATCAGCAAAAATAGCACAAGAGAGTTGGCCGATATGGACATGCTCGAAATGGCCAATTAACTGTCGAAAAGGGAATTTTAGTATTAAAATTCAATCTAAACTTAGAGATTGTACTGTACCTTTCTTGACTCAGCCGCATAAAAACGGACACTTCCATCCGAGAACCCCCATTCCATATACTTATCATAGGTTGGGGGGATATTGAGCCGAAATGCTGCTGCACAAAGAAGGCGGTCCTGCTTCACTGAGAAAGATAGGGAAGCCACTCGTTCTTGAATATCTAGAAGCGGAAGGCATGTTAAAAGAAGATCGAGGAAGACATGTGAGACATAACCTTACCTAACAGGGTAAATGGTAAGCGAGTTAATGAATCTGCAGAAGAGTCCAGGCGAATGGGCTTGTTTTGGATTTCTTCCCTCCCTGGATGATGCTTATGGAATACCTGATGAGGGGTTTGGCCAAAATTATGTATGATTCCTATGGTCGCCAGTCTCTCCATGGGATCTTCAATGCTATCAAGATCTTTGGCGCCACGATAAGATAAATGATGGAAAACATTGACGGCTTCCAGAGCCGCTTCACCTCGTTGTTTGGCACCAAAGATCAGATCAATCCACTGATGTAGATTGCGGGTGACAAACGGGCTTTCAAGCGCCTCGCGGTGTTTAGCTATAAAGATCTTTGGGTCTCCTTTTGCCCACGGAGGAAGCTCCACAGAATCAATAGATTGGCCTGTGCTCTGTCGTATCCCAAAATCATAGTTATTGGAGTTTGAGAGGAACTCTGGCAAGTAGAAAAACTCCGGGATTAACTCTCGAACATCGGTCATATTAAGTCGTGATGCAGAGTTCCACGCATCAGGAATGGAGAAAAACAGACGGTCGGCGTGATCAAACGTTCCACCCTGCAGGAGGAGATAGGATTTTACAAATGGCTGGAGTCGTATTAGATATGAACAGACGATCATGGCAGAAGAGTAGTGAGTCCCATAGTGAAAGGGTGGAGCATTTTCGTCTCCCATTTCTGCAAAAGATTGGTATCTGCTCCTAAAATCTGCCTCGCGTGTTATCGTCTGGCATCCCATTGGTTTCGAAAGGTCACGGAAGGTTCTTGGGTTTGTAAGATCAAGCTCTTCACTGGTATAATCAGCAAGAATCCACGGAAATACAGGGTATTGAGTCAAATCATTGAAGGTTCGGCCTGCGAGCGTGTTGACAAGCATCAGATAATGAAAGTTTGACATCTCGCCCTTCAGCCACTTCCGTGTTGCTGGGTGGGAAGGCATCTGGCTAAAGACGTTTACAAGCTTTGATCCAAAGAACTGTGAGTTATTCCCTTCACTGCGTAAAGTCTCAAAGCGCCATGAGTCTTCTGTTGAGCTAGTACTGCTATGTATTTGGGGTGCCCGGGATGTCAGCTCGTTATAGAGTTCGTTGCGTAGCTTGGCAGAGATAAGCGTAAACAGGTAGCTCCGCCCATCAGAGAAGAATATTTCCAAGGCAACATCACGGAAGAGAAATTGGCGCTTCGAAACACTAACGACGTCTGCCCAGATCCAGCTTCTGGATCTATGAGCGCCGTTGTTGTGTTTCCGATCATCGGATTCTCTGCCAGAAATCACGCGAACATAAGGATCTCTTTCCTCGGGATGTGCTTGCGACACATGGACGATCTCACAGTCAGAGCGTTGGAAAAAATTATCCATTATATAAAGGCTGATTTTTCCCAATATCAAAAGGCCCTCACAAGCTTCAAGCCCAATAATGCGGGAGATATTGCAAACATATTGTACTTGATCGCCCCGTTGAAGATTTTTCATCACTTTCCGATTCTTATCTTCATAAGGGTCGTTGCCTGTTGGTTCGTCTATCAACTCAAAGCTATCCTCAGTGGCAGATTTATCTTCAGTTTCATGATCAAGAGATTCCGTGTCAACGGAGTCAGGCACAATCGTGGGAGGTGGTAGATTAATAATATCACTATTTGGCGCAGGGCGTGTGCGAATATCCAATTTGATTTCAGGAGTATCATTGGTAATTTTTCTTTTTGGTTGATAATCCCTTTTGGCAGTTGAATCGTCTGGTGTTACCCGTAAACGCATTCTGCTGCGTCCCTCCGTCTGGTCCAGGCGCCAGTTATGCTTTGATTGAGTTGCGAGGAAGCCGTTCTCACGTCTCAAATTTGTGTACATCCGGGAAAAAGCTGAGGCCATGAAATTGAAATCATCCTGTTGGTCTTGGACTGCTCTCTGATGCTTTAAACCTTCCGACACGGATATATTGGCTGTCCAATGCCCAAATGTAATACCATGTTTACGCAGGATCTCTTCATTTATAGACTCAGTCTGGGTCCACTGCTTTAATTTGTCCTTCCTTTTCGATGCTCTTATCCGCGCCGTTTCTTGAGTTTTGGTATTCTCATCACGAACAAAGCTTTCCCAGCCTTTGCACAGAGCACCAAAGAAAAAGCAATCAAGGTCGTCGCGTTGATCATCGATCCAGTGAAGAAAGCTATCATCGTCCATTCCAACCAGTTTTTGGAAGCCTAGTGAAAGCCGCCTATGGAGCGATGGAGTGGCTTGACCAAGAATGACAGAGGTTTCGGACGGTTTTTGAACGAGGGTAATTCTCCACAACCCTGCTGCTGCCACGCGAACATCTTCTTTCTCCGTGACTATTTTAGAGTATAATAAATAATATATTAGTTGAAGTTGCTCGTTGGAAGACTCTTCAAGAGACAAAAGGACCGTTTGCCAGTATGTGAGCTGTTGTAGGAAGGTGTATGCGTTTTCTCCTTCAGTTGCAGAAAGTCGTAGGAGTACAGTCCGAAATACCGTCGAACGGATGCCAGCAATCGTTTGGCTGCAAAGCCGGACGCTTTTCAAAGATGCAATATCTGGCTCTTGTAAGTATTCAAGAACAGGGCCGATAAAGTTCAACGTAGCCATTGCTCCATCAATAAACCATCCCCCATACACGGCTTCAGCCACGTATGAGAGTAGTCGAGACAGATTGTTCAAAACGCGGGGCTCAATAAGTACTTTCTTGTCCTTCGATATCTTTTTTTCTAAATGTGTAAGGAGATTTTTAAGAATCCAGGACTCGAAATATATGTGATGCTCCACAAACCCAGGAGGTATCCTGGCAAACAACTGCAATCCTGAAAACTCTTTGCGCCCGAACAGCTGGTCTGTGTAAACAGCTAGAAGGATATCAAGGATATCGTTGGCCACAGGATTGCTTGGACGGGGGCTTGCTGCATCAGGAACAGGCGTCACAATTTGTTGCAATCGAGCGGGAGATGGGGAATATTTTGATTTGTTTGATGATACTAGGATAAATGATGACGATCGATGAAGCTCATTGTCGTTATCTTGAGCATCCGTCCCCTCAACGGTACTAGTACGTACGATCGGTCTAGCCCCCTGGAGTGGTTGAATTGTAACCGAATCCCCACCAAATCGCAGTCCTTCTGAATTGGACTCTAGCTCAAAACCTGCATTGACTATATCAGAGCCAACTACTACAGGGTATAAAGCTCGCAGGAGTTCTTCAACATAATTGGATGTCACTGTAAAATCACGAAAGTTTTGAGACTTTTCATGCATATGAGCCAGGAAATCCACAACGGTTTTTAAAATGTCACAGTCCGATGATACAGGCCCCGAGGTGCTAACTTCTGTGGCGAATAGTTAGTTTCCGTAAAAGAACAGAATTCCAACGCTGGGTTGGCTATAAGAATGATTGATTGAACCCCAGGACAACTAACCTGATCGCAATGAACTGCTCCCTGAATCCGCCCTCGGACGAACCACATACACGCCGTCTTCATCCTCTGCATGGCTGGACGGAGAACCACTCCTAGGCATCACAGATGCTTTCAAGCCAAGCTGGAGCATTCCTGTAATAACAGGCAGAACCTCTGGAAATGACACTTTGAGGGTCTCAGGGGAAGACAAAAGCCGCTGAAGATCTGAGGTACCGGAAGTTTTATCCAAGTTTATCGAGCCTGGATCCAGACCGAAGAGGATAGAGAAACATAGTGGCCACAATGGCGCTAAGTTCCACCACCTCTTGAGCCGGTGCCGCATCACCACGAACCCACCCGCTTTCTCTGCAAATTTTTTGGTATATGCAGTGCCATGAACAATAAACAGCCGAGATAAAATCATCGTGACTAATATCACTACATCTGGGTTGTCTTCTGATAGGAGGTATAATAGCCACTATAAACGACATGTAAGTTGTACATTCCAACGAGGGTTGTGAAGTTAAAGCATACCTTATTAGTGACTGTCCTAGCAAATTTTTGGATGCTGGCGGTATCTTCGCTGTTACAAAAGACCTCGGTAAACACCCGCAAAATTTCCACCCCAATTTGTTCCTTTGAAACATAGCCTGGGACGTGATCAGGGTATAAATTCCCTGGTCGTCGGGACCGTATGTCAAGACGAGTATTCTTATTTTTGCTGGTTTTGTTGTTCACGCGCTGCTTTGCTGAGTGTATGGAAAATGTAATGAAAAGCGATACAGAACGAAGAACTTCGGCGGTCATACAAGCACCCACTAAGCTCTTAAATGCTGCCACGAATAGCTTCAAAGTTGCTGTTGTGAAAATTTCCGCTTTCAGGGCTTCTATAAGTCTTTTAATCACACCTACACATACAAGGTTAGCATGTTTTCCAATAGCAAAGGGCTAAGGGTGGTGAACATACGCATTCTGGACAACCGCTTTGAATTGAACCTGTGGTAATGACTCTCCACGCAAAATGTTCGGAACTGGGAATAGTATATCTCCAGCAATGGCAGGTCGGCTTGCCTCCATATATCCAGGTCTATTAACAGGATCCGGTATGCCAATGGATTTATTATTAAGGACTTTTTCGGGTTCTCAAAATCATATCCTACAAATCTGAGGATGGGTAGTAAAAGTTCCATAGATGCCTCGTTGCGTTCTTGTGTAGTGCTGCACACTGGACTTGTTTTTAAAGGAGAATTCTGCACAGGTGATGAAAACCCGAGTTTTTCACGCAGGAGCATGGCAAGTATACCGTATCCATTCTCCTTTTCCATGGCTTCACTGTTTCTCCAGTTATCCTGAACAGCTTCAAAGAACAGTTCTAGAGCAAAATGAAGCGATTCGCGGGTAGTTGCTGCTTCAACTAAGCTGAGATGAACGCCTGCACACCCACCAATTCGCCAACTCACATCATCTAGAGATTGCGGGACAATAACCACCGGATCTCCCGTGAGTATTGCAACTCCGTGAGGTTGTGTTAGGGCTTCATTAATTGCGGGAACTGCTCCATTGATGACAATAGAATTGCCTTTGACCTTGGTGAGTTGAGTCAAATTCTTGCCAGCAGTTTTTGAGAGTGATTTCACCAATTGTGATTCATCAATGTTATTGGTATCATCATCATCCATAACTGAGGTAGGTGATATATTGAGCAAGACAGAGCTTTCGGGAATCAAAATGCTGCCTTTTTGTCTAATGACGGAAACAATGTCTGACTGGTCCTCCTTGCCAGCATGGAGGCTCTCATTGCGTAAATTCAAGGTAGCAGACGCCCTGTACGTCTGGAAGGAACCTAGACAATCCTGGAAGTTCCCATAATATCTAGGCCCAAGATGGCAAAGCACAGCAATAAGATCATCATTGAAAGCTTCATCAAATAGGATAGCAGAGGCAAGAGACCATTTCGAGGAAGATACACCTTTCCCAACTCTAACAGCAAGGTCCCGAGGAGTTCCTAAAAATGCTTGAATCTGAGGATTCTTCTGGTTCATACGAAGTCTTGGTACAACCGGGTAATCCGCTTTGAGCTGTTCTGCAAATTCACCATTTACGAAAAGGAGTGCACGGGATAAAGACAGCGTTTTGGGCCGTTTATGCACAATGCAAATATGGTACCATTGGCCAGGTAGGAATTTCGTGGCCTTGAAACGAACACTGGGTCTCATACCCTTAATTGAGGTTTGTAAAATAAGGTTATGAGTATCCTTCTCAAGGTAGACTAAAACGAAGCATGTCTGTGTAGCATCATAGGCACCAAACAGGGTAGTATGGGTGTCTGGTTCGAATTTGTCAACTCGTGCCCAGATGGTTAGAGTATAACCGCTAGAGGTAATAGAGGGAAATGGTCTCCCCAAAGTTGGCAATTCGATCGAGCTATATCCATGGGATGAAAGGTCAAAGTGCACACAAGGAGGGTTTTTTGAAGATTTCAATGCATCTAATAGGAACCTGGAAACCTGGGGTACTTTTTGGGCTTTTTGGTAAAGTTGTATGGCATCCTGCAGGGAGTTAACGCCATGCTGGCATAAAATTGTGGCCAGTTTTAGGTATGCTTCTAACTCATCTTTTGATCTTTCAGGTACTGTTACAAGGGTTAAAAGCGGAGAGAGAATGCCTGTGGAATGGAGAGCTAGACAATTCCGTTGAGATAATGAAGCAAGACGAGTTAGACATAGTGGAACCGAGAGTCGAAGAATTGGATAGGTCTCTTGTTTAGCCGTTTGTGCCAGCCATAATCGCAATAATGGCCCGAAAAATTCTGGGTTTTCTACAACCTCCCCTGTCCCCAGAGTGAGGTTAACCAGCTCAGAGAGCGAAGGCAAGGTGTTTGACTCAGCGTCTTCAGCCTTTTTCCTGACAGTTGAGAAGAATTGTGACATGGTTTCATTTCCCAGACCAGCTGCCAAAATGCCGCCATAAAGGAGTTCGACATCCTGAGTTTTATTCAATTTGCCAGCCAGGTCTGAGAGTATGCGTTCATACGCGATGATTCCAGCCCCATTATCCCGTTTGCCGAAATATCGTTTGTTTCCCGGATCGTCTTTCAAACTTTCCGCAACGATGCATAGGGAATCTTTAACAATTGACAGAAGTAGCTTCCCGTCTGCATCCCCTATCGTGTCTGGTTTGTATAGATCTGCCAAGTGTTTTAAGAGTCCTAACACACTTTCGAACCCTCTGAGCTGACGAAACACGCTCTTTGCCTCTTGAGGTTGGTGGTCGTCGATAAGCGTATGGTGTATGAGAAGGAGATGTTCGGTGGCTCCGGATGCTTCTTCAACCGACCCAGGAGGGTTATGGCAGCAGCTAGCTAGCCCGTCAATCGCGGGTTGCAGTTTTGGGGTCAGTCTTTCTACCGAGATGGCGGATGATGACACTCTCGGGCGAGGTTGCGCGCCGCTCATCTTGGGCAAATATGCAGTGTATAAGGTCTGCAGTTACCAGCTACCAGTCTCATCGCGTGATGCAGCCAGGCATACTTGGTCGTGACAGGTAGACGTCTCTAGTGGTAGTTTATCAGCGAGAAGCTTCAGTCACGAACTATTTCTCTCTGCCGTTAACAGTGACTGAAACGTGTAAATTCAATGGGCGGACAAGGTGGCATCTCTCCAGCAGAGTACTCTGTAGTTCATCAATGAAGTTGAAATTCACCCTTGAAGCTGGTTCAGATGTCTTTCCTCGACTTACTCCCGCGCGGCGAAACGCATCACGTGATCGGGTCCGGGCCTGGGCCTTATCAAAGTCGTTGATTCTTGTTCCTGCCTTTACAAGTCAAGGTAGAAAGAAAGATATGTGATAGAAAACTAATGAGCACAGAAAAGTTATTGCGATGAATTTTTATTGAAGGCTGTTCTATATGCGCTGTTCAAACCATCCTTGGGATGCCGCCTCAGGCTCTTAGATCATGAAACAATCCCCTTTTTCAACTCCCACTGTGAGCTTCTTGTTCCTCACTCTTGCTCGCTAGTTAGGGTTTAAAGCTAATATATGACAGTGCAGGTACCTATAACCATATCCGTACTCCGTACTCACTACCGTTTCCTGGATACAATTCCGAGCAAGCGATCTGGTTGATATTCCACTTCTTTGCTGGCCTCAAAATATGGGAGTAGAGCAGTTTTCCAGTAGTTGTCCCAGTTCACCTAGTGGGGCTTCATCAGGCTCTTCAAAAGAGGCCTCACACAAAGCTGTCACACAAGTTGGTCCTGTCGGTTCCCTGACCGATCAAAAGACTGGCGGGATTAGTAACTTGGGGCTCAGCCACACTAGTTTCGGGCTGCCAGGAGCAACTATCGCATCGTCTCTCGCTCTAGGAACAGAATCAGCGCGGCTGAAAGGCATGCAAAGTTGATTCCAATAATACCTCGGTATTTACCGGAAGATACCACTCAAATGGCGCATCTTTGCCGTTTTTGGGACTATTTCATCACCTTGGTTTGCCCCTCCACAAGTCCGGAAGCTGCCATACTTGGAGAATGGGAGAGTCACTTTTGTAGCACGCCGTAGTATCTAGAATCTATTATTACTCCGTATATCTAGGGTATTAAGAGTCCCAGGGCGTCAATTGTTTGTCTGCATGCAACAATAGAAGCGATGACGTATTTCGAAGCCAAGGGTTCTAGCCGGTAGGGCCTAAACCTTAGGAAATACCAGACGTGAGCATCAACGCGGGTGCAACATCCGTAGCATCGTCATGGCAGGGTGAGGAAACAGGGGGTATAATGTGGCTCGGAAATGAGCCACTGACAGTGTCTCTTGTCCACGGAAGACACGGTCAGCTCCAGGTAATTCGTGATTTCCTATCTGATAGAACAAGAAGAGCCTTGGTAGTGCCTTCTCACGATCTGGTGGCAGCTGGTTGGTATTGTGCTGCTTTGAGCGGTCATCCTGGTGGTTCTTTCAAGCTAGTATGCCAATAGCTACGCGCCAGACGGTGGCGGTTTCAGCCATTTTTTAGTTTTCACCATTCCGATCAGCACTTGGCCTGAGATGCTTCACTCTGTCTTGTAGAGGCACTCCACCATCTCTTCCAAGCCAAAGTCAACAAAGGCGACGGGGCGCTCCGTCACAAGGGAGCACACGACTGTTGGTAGCCGTGTCAAAGGTTTAGCTGGGAGCCCTGCTTGGTCTGCTGCTGGGCGCTAATTGTTAATTTCCCCGACGATCCCTGTGGAGCTAACGAGCAAGTGAGCGAAGCTGGAGCTGCTGGAGCTGTCCCCGGATATGACACACAACTCGAAGCTTGCAGATGTTGGACAAGGCCCATCTTCCTCCCCTCTGGCTGTCCCCGTAGCTAGTAGTAAGCCCCTGTAAAAGCGTCTCGTCACGAGCTACTGCGCCCATCGCTGTCCCATCACGAGCTTCTCCTTGCAGTTGCGGCGTGGCTTCTTTTTTCGGGGTCAACCTAAGTATGGAAGTACGAAGAAACGTGACCCCGGGTTTAACCTTACATAAGCTGGGCTCCACTCCACCTCTCGAGCAAGACATGTGACGTGATTTCGATGAGTCAGCGCGAGGGATCTTACATCATCCGCTCCGGCTTCCGGGACCTCCAACCGCCAACCTCCTCCCTCTCCCCATCTCCGTCTCTTCTTTAACTTCATCTCTGCCTCTTCTTCTTCTTCACTCATCATCACCATCACCAGAGCCTTCCAGCACACCGTCCATCTCTAGTCTGCCTGCTTTCCCATCTCTTGAGCTTCCCATCCTTACCTCCTGTCCTTGACTTGCCCTCGTCATCACCATGAAGGGCCTCCTCAGCCTCTCGGTGTTGCCTGTGCTGGCATACGCCTCCCCCATGATCGTTGACTCCATCCATCAGAATGCTGCTCCCATCCTCTCCTCTACGAATGCCAAAGATATCCCGGACTCATACATCGTCGTGTTCAAGAAGGGTGTCACTTCCACCTCGGCTCTAGCTCACCAGAGCTGGGTCCAGGACATTCACACCTCCGTCGAGTCCAAGCGTTTGAAGAAACGCAACCAGTTCACATTCAAGAACGAGGCCTTCGATGGCTTGAAGCACACATTCGACTTTGCTGGTGGCTTCCTCGGCTACTCTGGCCATTTCGATGAAGAAGTCATCGAGCAAGTCCGCAGGCATCCTGACGTCAGTTTCACCACAAGGCTGAGAGAGCTCTCGAAGAGCTGCCAGCCACCCCCAGATTCTTCTTTGCTCCTTTTTTTGGCTTTTTTATTTTTCCCTCTAACATACTGACCGATCATACAGGTCGAATACATTGAGCGTGATTCCGAAGTCCACACCCTCGAGGCTGCCACTGAGAACGGTGCTCCCTGGGGTCTAGCTCGTATCTCTCACCGTGACAAGCTCAACTTCGGCACATTCAACAAGTACATCTACGCTTCCCAGGGTGGTGAGGGTGTCGATGCCTATGTTATTGATACCGGCACCAACATCGACCACGTCGACTTTGAAGGCCGTGCTAGCTGGGGAAAGACTATTCCCCAGGGTGACGATGACGTTGACGGCAACGGCCACGGAACTCACTGCTCCGGTACTATTGCTGGCAAGAAGTATGGTGTTGCCAAGAAGGCCAATGTCTACGCTGTCAAGGTCTTGAGAACCAGTGGCTCTGGTACCATGTCTGATGTCGTTAAGGGTGTCCAATGGGCCGCCGAAAGTCATTTGAAGTCGGTTGGCGAGGCCAAGAAGGGCAACCGAAAGGGCTTCAAGGGAAGTGTTGCTAACATGAGCTTGGGAGGCGGCAAGTCCGTCACTTTAGACCGCGTTGTTGACCAGGCTGTTGCTGTTGGCATGCACTTTGCCGTTGCTGCCGGTAATGATAACGCTGATGCTTGCAACTACTCTCCTGCTGGCTCTCAGAACTCCATCACCGTCGGTGCCTCGACTCTTGCTGATGAGCGTGCTTACTTCTCCAATTACGGCAAATGTACCGACATCTTCGCTCCTGGCTTGAACATCCAGTCCACCTGGATTGGAAGCAAGCACGCCGTCAACACCATCTCCGGAACTTCCATGGCCTCTCCCCATATCTGCGGTCTCTTGGCCTACTTCCTCTCCCTCCAGCCGGCGCCCGATTCCGCTTTTGCCGTTGCTGAGATCACTCCAGCTGAAATGAAGGCTAACATGATTTCTATCGCTTCCAAGAACCTCCTCACTGATATCCCATCTGACACCCCCAACGTAAGCACCCGTCCCCATAATTGTCCTCTCTCTTGAACAATTTACTAACAATACTGCTTATAGCTCCTCGCCTGGAACGGTGGTGGCTCTGACAGCTACAAGGAAATCATTGGAGGTGCTAAGGAGAATGACACTACGGATTTCTCCTCCACCCTCACCGAGAAGCTCGAGAAGTTGGCTGAAGAGGGCCTCACTGCCATCTACAATGAACTCAAGGACGCCGTCGTCGCATAAGCGCATAAGATGTATATTATAGGGCGTACCCTATACTAATACGCCGCATCCGATATGTTACACTCAACAACATATCGGGGCCAGATGCTCGCACTATTCGTCTCACCACCTGGAACCGAAAAAGGTGCGAACACACGAACTTGACTAATGGCACGTTGGTTATTTCCAACCTTGGCGCAGATGTTGTTTTTGGTTACATGTTCCATGGGTGTGATATTACTTTGTACTGCTTGTTTTCTATTTGTTTTCCCCTCGTACCTCACTCTAGGCTCTATCCACAGGTTGTGATTTAGAGACGCATCTCGTTTTCACGCACGGTTTTGTATGGTTTGTCTATTGTTACTTCCACTGCATGATGCCATTCATTTTTTTTTCAGGGCTTTTGTTCAGGTTAAGTTACCATGAGCCGTTCTCAGGGCCTATATCTCAGCGCGCATAGATAGTTATTCTTATCGAATACTTCCATATGCAGGTCCTAAAGAGGATTAAGTGTAAACAAAGCTGTTAGACAATGCATCCTATACGTCTCCGCATATCTATATCCAAGAATATGTTGGAAGTGGCACGCAACTCAGGTTCGATGACGAGGCAGTACTCACTCCCCGCATTCCTTGGAGGTAAGCGCTGCACAAGTTTTGCACCTGATAATAATCTGCCTGAAATGCTGTCAATCCTTTCAATAATGTACGTGTAATATTTTATCTAGGTGTGTGGCACTGTAACAACCAATTCTATAACGCCAGTCATACATAGACCTCGTGCATCCCTTGATTCTCTTTCACGTTTAGTATTATCATTGGCCTGGCACGCGACTGAATAAATAGTCCGTGATACAGGCCCGCCCGGTCTACATTGCATGTCGACTCGCTCTGCTGCTGTAAGTGCCAGAATTACGCAAACCAGCACTGATACCTCCTGACCTGCCCTCCCTATTATTGCTGGATTGATCAGACTCCTCCGAAATATGAGCCTCATATCCATTTTCATTAACATTATTACCGCCGTTCTCTTCTTCCTCTTCCTCCTCCTCTTCATCCGTACTCGTGCCATTATTCGGGCTATCTTTCCCATCATCAAGTATGCTAGGCCGTTTCTTTCTTTCAAAGTCTTGAGCGTGCGCTGTGGCTAACATGGTGCCTACCCGAGCCAATGTTCCGCTGGGAGGAGTACCTCCTTCTCGTTGCGAATAGCGTCGGTGTCGAAGTGAGCTCGTGGATTCATCTCCACCATCACCGCTCTCAAGATCAGGCATTTGTGTAGCAGCACCGCTCGACACGGCGGTTCCACCTGTTGGTATGCGTCCGAGGGCGTGTGGAGGCGAAGCCTTTGACTCCCGGTCCTTGTATGAGGTAGATGCAGCGGGTATGGAAGATATTGCTTCTTCATCGGATACGGTCATTGATATGTCATATGGCAGTGGGACGTCTCTTGAAGCTCGGAACCTGCCGACGTTTGTGCAATGTTCGTTCTCGACACGGAAAATAGTCCACATTCCACGACGACACACTTCAGAGAGCGCAACGGCAAAACTCAGAACAGCCGAATGTTGTATGTCATGTATAAATATGGCGTATAGAATCCAATTGAAGCGTAGTATAGGGTCGATTACCATTGCGACATAGTATACCCATCGGCGTCGGAAACCAAGGAAATCACGTAAGTATGGGTTCTTGGAGTAAGGGTTGCATAAACTCCAATCCATGGCTAAATCCCAAACCGATGCATATATGGCGTTGAGGCAGGCAAAGGTGATAAATATACCGCGCAAGGTGGTTGACTTATCGATACGGTATAAGCTGAGGGTTAGGTAGTAAAGGATAGAGAAAGAGTATTTCCCGAAGTTAACGAGATGGGGAAACGCATTTCGAGTGTCATAGTAACGGCGAAGGCACTGGAATCCACGCCATATGGACGGGATTGTAGTCAAGAAGCCGAATACGCGGGAGTGTGAAGAATTGCACATGGGCGGATTATTCCATTCATTTGCATACAAACAAAAGAAGAGTGCAATGTTCTAAGTATGTTCAGTTAGCAGGACTATTTAGTTTCACTTAGAGAAAATTTTCTACTTACCCCCATGGCATAGGTCTGGGAGCAGTACATGTCACCTAGGAAAAAGTCTCTAAATTCCACCGGGTAAAGGCCTGCAAGGAGCAACCGCCACTGTAGCATTGTTAGTCGTGGACTGTAAAGAGAGAAAATATAGAACTTACATGCGAGTATGCCCACCAAAGCCTGCTTCGGTAGTAAAGAATTCGCGCGGGTAGAAATAACGTAACGACGGTTAGGCCAATTAAGACCACAGGCCAATATATATAAAATGAGTTTACCCAGCGGAAGTTTAGCCACATGCATAGCCCCAAGAGAAGGCTAAACAGAGATGGTAGCTAAATAACTACACGTTAGCAGGGTAACCAGAGCTGAATCATAAAAATTAAGATAGCTTACCTCTGAGAGTTGGCGCCAGTCCAAAACGTGGCGGGTGTCATATTCAAAAACGAAAATATAGTTTATTTTTGATAGAGTCCAAACTCTACAGTCCAGACAAAAGAGAAAGAAATGAACAAGAATAAGGAAGTATCCGCCGTATATCTTGAGAAAATAGATGTTAGAAGAGTCTCCCATCGTAGTAGAGGTATCTGTTTTCTGTACCTGAAGAAGATAACTGGTTTCTGTCTTGACGTCTATTTCATGGCTGAACAGGTGACCAATTGCATAGGCAACACCCTGCGCACCGAATACGAGTCCCCCAGCTAGCAGTAGCCCATTTCGGAACGAATTTGGGGAGTAGTCCGTTGGAAATCCTGCTTTGCCACGCAGTTTCTGAGTGGCAGCTTTGCGGTTCCCTCGTTCAAAATAACGGGCATACAAATCTTCAACCGCAACTAAATGGTTCTCAACAATGTCACTCTGTACAAACCATGCCTTATTGACCTTTTCAGTCATATACCTCCCAGTGGGGCGGGCGTATGCAATCTTGTCATACTTTTTATTCATCTTTCGAAATGCCTTTCTGTTTAAATCGGCATATGATTTAAGCAGTTCTAAGCCGCGATAGAACTCTAAAAGGGCAAGCTTTAGTTTCCTCTTTGCAGAGGTATAAGGTACACTTTGGTATTCCTTGCGGGTGACAAAATCTCTCTGCTCGTCAGGCATTGTCTGTGGTACTGGGCCGCTAGGTGTTGCTAATTGTGCCATTGCCTTAGTTGTCTTACCAATATGGGAGCCTCTACCACGGGCCAAAGGTCTAGTCCAGGTGGCAGCGGTCTGGCCAGCGGGGCCTTTGATGCCATTCTTGGCCTCTCCAGATTCAGATTTTGATTGGTTTTTCTTCGACCTGATTTCTTCAAGTCGTAAGTCCCTCATGACATGTAGCTGATCTCTGAGTAATTGCAGCCTCTTAGTCGATTCATCCTCTTTTAACTTATAAAAGGTTTCGATCTTTGACAGCTCTTTGTCCATGAAAGCGAAAAACTCGGCCTCCTTAGTTTTAAGTTCTGCAAGAGCCTGCTCTCGTGCGGGTGCTTGGGTTTTAGAATTTTCATATTCTGGGCTAGATGAGAACATTCGGTGGATAAACGAAGGCCTTGGGCCAGGGGTACCAATTGTAGGTCGGCGATCTCTTCTTTGCTTCCGTAATGATCTACGCCCGGATTGTGTACTTTGTCCAGGGTGAAGATTCTTTTGCTTGTTTGTATAGGGTGCCAGAAGCCCATCGTTGTGTAGAGTAGATGATTCATTCCGGGGCGTAAAATAGTTGTCATCTGGATCAATTGCGGGATCAGGAAGCTGAAGTGAGGAAGGAACTAAAGAGGGAGAAACTGTGTGGCTCGGTCGTGGTGGTACAATGCTTCCATATCCTTCAGTCTGGTCGAACCGAGATGCTGGAGTTCGAAGCGGTGACCGTTCCGGCGCGGCCTGGATTGCCCGATCACCTGCATGACGCTGCGTTACACTGCTGAGTCCAGGTATTTCATTAGGCGTCAACGGGAATTGGATCGAGTCACGGCGTGTAGCGCTAATTTGGCTGAACCTCCGCCGCCCGGGAGTCCACGATGCCTGTTCTACATGTCGGAGAGCTCTTGCGATGGCTTTGACCTTCTTCTTCCCACCCTATAGATCATTCCAACGCTACAGGTCAGCTCGGGGATCTGCATTGTGTGGCATTGCTTGGCCTTCCAACTTGCCTTGTAGTTCAAATACTTCGCCCGCCATTCAGGAACCAGTTCCCGTTCAAGGTCCCTACAGATGGGTGGTGGTCAGCTTACTCCTCTGTCGAAGGTAACCAGGAGCCAAGTATCCCTCCTTAGTGTGGTACTTACTTTGCAAACTTCATTCTCTAGCGTGTGTCTATGTAAATTCATCGCCAAGTGCTGCCGAAGAGACTGTAAAATGAACAATTCTTGCAATAAATCACTGTCGCGAGATGCTCCAGGTCTGCCTCGGCGGTGTCTTTTGATATATAAGTCTTTCCATCTTTGCGCCTCGACCACAAAAGTACGAAACCGGCTTCGGCAAAGACCCACGTTTCTGCTGACTCAGCAGAGGTAAAAAAGAAGCAATTTCAGCCTCTTTCGACGTCGTTGTTTCTTCCGTGACAGCAAGTCGACGAAACAAAGAAACGGATGCCAGAAGAGAGATATGAAAAGAGCGACGAGCTGAAGAAAAGGAATGATGTTGTGACGGCGACCACAGCACAGGCGGGATGGATGCGGATGAGTTGACTCTGTGGCTGCTGTTTGGCCGGCGGGAAGGATGCGGGAGCAAGCAGGCGAAACCCCCTTGCTGGGATGATTGGTCCTACCGACAAACGCCTTGTCCTCCTTGTGTGGAAGAGGAGAAAGCGCACATCGTGGCTCGCGGGATGCCCTGGGAGGGACGAAGGGAAACAAACCTTATCCTGTTGTTGATACTGAAGGGATCTCGTGGAATCATCCTCTGCAGCCAGCAATTGGACGGACACTTGTTTGCCACGAAAAGAGCCCCCGTATCTTGTTCCTGGACCACTGTTTTCCGTACAACGACAACTGTCTATTATTATTTGCCAGCAGCTCATGAGTCGTGTGACTGCTCGCGCTCCAATCAAAGCCCAGACCCTCTAACCTGCAGCTAACACTGTCCTTGCAGCCACCACGCGAAGAGCTTTTATTTCTTCTCGAAACGTGTAACTAACTCATTAACTAGTTAGCGATATCGTGCAAAGGCCAGACACCCTAATTTCGATGCCGGCATCCCGAGGACAACAACGTCTGCCATACTTGTTACACAACTGACGACCTTCTGCAGTTATCGACTTGTAATGCTTTTAGTTAAATACGAGGTGCCACTTTCTTGTCACATCTCTGCTATCTAGGTACTCTGTACAACGCGACGGTTAACTATTCAGCAGTGTCATTTATTAGCCTTGGCAGTCAGTTTGTTGATATCGAATTCGCAGCCGGCGGAACACGATCATGAGGTGAAAGTCAAACGAGCCGGGTCAGTCTCTATTTACAACTTGTCTGCAAATTAGCAGGAACATGCTACCAAAAAAAAAAAAAAAAAAAAAAAAAAAAAAAAAAAAAAAAAAAAAAAAAAAAAATTTCTATACTATACGAATAAACAATCGAATGGGATGTAACTCCCGACAAACGGATATCTCGGATATCTCTGTGCGTATCTAAATTCGGCCAGAAGATTGTATACAGAACAGTGCATGTCAAACAGGGCCATGAATACTCAACCCGACAAATCTATAGCATATCTCTCATAATCGAAATGCTCCAACGTCTGAACTGTTTCCCCCCAGTCGTTAGGCATCTCTCCATGTTGCCATTCATCTCCTGTCTGGAAGTCTCCAGTGCTAGTAATGAGGACTTCTTTCTGCTGGTCTTGATGCTCAGCCAGGAGATCCGGGTGCGGCACCCAAACAACTCTCATTCCAGCCCGTCTAACGGCCTCGACCCCAACCAAGCTGTCCTCGAAGACCAAACATTCGCCGGGTAATATGACCTTCTCGCCGAAACTCACTGAGTTCAGTGACTGTAACGCGACCTAGTATATATGGCACGGATTTCCAATTCTATAAAACCATGTAAGAGTAAAATATCTATCTATTAGTAGGACGCAAAGATTGCTGCTGAAAAGTATTCCCGCTCATCACTCAGCTCAATGCCGCAAAACGTCTTCAAACCAATCTAGGACTACTTGATTCGCCAAAACACTTGCACCAACAGAACAATGTTCGCCGGCTCCGTCAGCGGTGCTGAATTCGTGATAAGTAGTAAGTTTGCTACCAATCCTGTCGGCCAGTATTTTTGCCTGGCCGGGGAAAAATTGATCGTTCTGTGCATCACCCACGAAAACCGGCGCAGTAATGTTCTGTGCAAAGCCATCCATATTGTATTTTAGGGTCTGTGAGAGCCATTCGAAGGGTGATTCGGTGTTAAACGACCACAAACCTTGTTGAACAGCCCATTTAGTGAACGTTTCGGTTGACGGTTCTGCTAGACCCTCTGCCAAGATGGAATCGAAAAGTTTCGCGTTTTCAGGCCCAGATTTGAATAGTTCCTTCAACTTTGGTGGGAAAGGCTTCAGATTGGATTCGCCGAAGTCGTAAATGCCATCTAATGCAAGGACAGCAGCGATACGGTGCTCAACCGCTGCAGCGCGAGGTGCAAGAAACCCGCCGAATGAAAGTCCCATGAGACCAATAGCATCGGCTCGGACTTCAGGACGGGTGATGGCATAGTCGACCACGGGGGTAACAACCTTGTCCCACTGAGGGATGAAACCGAGCTTCTGTTCTCGGCGAACAGTGGGCTGGCCGGGCCCTTCGTAAGTGATAACGTTGATTCCTCGGTCAAGGGCTGCCTTGCCCAGAACATGATACATTTCCTCCTGCGCGCCATCGAAGCCGTTTCCCATTATGATTGTCGATCGCGGGCCAGGCAAGCCACAGCCGAAAAATATAATTGGTATTGTGAAGTTTGAGTCGAGGTCATCACCCTTGGCATGTAGAGTTACCCTCTGCCCTGGGACAGGGAGTAAGGAAATTGCTGCATTGAATGCCTCCAAGTGTTTATCCCAAAGAGAATAGACTCGGGGGTCGGTCCAGTTTCCCCGCAAAAAGAAGTCCGCAGAGCGATAATAGGTTGCTGCCTTGAAAAAGGTATTGCGAGCGGAGATTGGATGGTCGGTAATGTTTATGGCTTTGGCCAGCTGATGAACGCGAGTGGCTAGTTTATTGAATGCAGTGTAATAACTTTCGAAGTCTCCGGGTTTGATTTCACTGGCTGCGATGAGAACTTCATTCACGTCGGAACCTTCATATGGCACCAGAGATAGATCACGCAGCAATTCGTAGTGGAATGACTTGTCCGAGCTAAGTTGAATTGCTGATATTGACGTGTTATCTCTTTTCTCAAAGTGCACTGGTGAAGCCTATCCCGAAAAATATTAAAAGCTAGGAACAATAGATACTTCACATCCTTAGCGAACTTACCGAGCAAAGGCTAGCCACGCTAATTAGGGATGCAAGGTGCGATAACTTCATCGCTGTAAGGGGATATAGTTGGGTATATTGTGTTCAGGTTGCTCTATTTTACCTGGACTATGTATTTGCGAGAAGTGGTATACACCCAGAGAAGTCGACCTCGATTTTATAGACATCTTGAACGAGATATGCGTCACGGTTTCGGCATCCTAAATTGGAATCAGTTGCGAGATAGCTATGGTCCGGTAACCAGAGACGAGCGTAGTTCAGCCCTGGTATTATATAGCCTCCGTGGAAGGGAAGGATTTTTGTTAGGATCCAGCAGGATGGATGGCGCAGTATTTGCGTCCCAAAGAAGTAAGCGTCGCGAGTCCAATGTTTTTGCGTTCATTATATAATCCAACCTTAACTTTATTCCGGAAATAGTAAAATCCGTAACGATCTAACTTACTTTGGCTAGACTTGCGGCAGAGCCGCCAGTGGATTAGTAATCGATCCTCCACGCTCGTTTAACCAAAAGCGGAACGAAGGACCGCCATTTGTTGAGATGAGCAGGCAGATGCATTCAGCATGACGGAGGTACCCCCAATAATCTCGTTTATAAACGAGCAGCAGCGCCAGCAGCAGGCCTCTGGGCGCCGGAAGGGAGTGAAGCAGTTTCACAGAAAATCCCGGGTCGGCTGCCAAAGATGCCGGACAAAGAGAATCAAGGTGAGTGAGGCAGCATATATAAGGACTACCAGGGTCAATTGTCCCTGGAGGTACAGGGTACATTACAATCAGTTACTAATGGCTAGGAAGTGTGATGAGACCAAGCCGGTATGCCGCAACTGCGAGCGTGTTGAGGAACCCTGTATCTATGATCGCCTTCCTAAAGATGAATCTATGGAAGCGGGTGAGCCCGCAGAAACGAAAGACCGGCGGATCCTGGAGCTCAAATTGATGCATCTTTATATTACCGAAACTGGCCCGACAATTGCGTTCGACCCGGAGACGTCTTACGAGGTCTTCGTCGATGCTCTCCCACGAATGGCCTTCCAGTCGGATGGACTGCTGTACAGTATCTATGCTGTCACCAGTCTTCATCAAGCAAGAAAAATATCGTCCACTATCTCCGAATCCTCGATGCTAGAGCATCACCATCGTTATCTACAACTTGCATTCAAGCACCATCATAAAGAGCTTATCTCCTTTTCAAAGGAGAAGGCCGATGTGATTATGCTTACCACTCATCTTATGCGTCTTGTAGCCTTCGTGATGCTCTCGGAACGGATTCTGGAACCTTATGCGCCTCCCATAGAGTGGCTTCGCATAACTAGCAGCAATGCGAAGTTCTTTCAAACCGCCATGGAAGCTATTGGGGATGATCCCTCCACCTGCACAGCCAAACTAATCAGATCTACCCCACTAACATTAGACGAGGATAATGCCCAGCACGACTTTCCTGATCCTCGACCAAGCTTTGAACATATCTTGACTGCTCGAAGCAAGGATCCTGATGACAACGACGACCCGGTTTTCTGGGATGATGGTGTCAGGGTTGCGTACGAGGGAGCAATGGGATATCTCGGCAGTATATTCCGGATACTTCACAACTACGATGGACCCCCCGGCCCGATAAGACGGCGAATTGTCGTTTTCCCCTTTATCGTGGATCCTCGCTTCATCGATCTTGTAGCAGAGGGCCGTCCACGGGCCCTTGTTATCCTGGCTCACTTTTTTGCGCTGATTGTGTTTTTGGATACCTATTGGTTTGTCGGCAACACTGGGGCTCGGGAAGTCCGGGCCATAGCTGCCCATCTTCCACCCTTCTGGCAAGGTCTAATGGGATTCCCCCTTTATATCGTCGAGAATGGGTTCACTTGCAAACGATAAGAAGGAACATACTCTCTTATCGTTCTATATCTATTAAGTAGCTCGCTTTTCAGGATGTGGGCTGAGCCGTGCGATGATTACCCAACATACCATTTGCTAGATTAGTATATAGAACATACCTTTTGAGTACATATAGATTGTTAAAAGTGATAGCGGATTGACCTTGTAAATATGAATCTTCAATTTAAACTCAACTCATAAAGCTTAACCTGTTAACTAGTGAGTCAACTAAGTTAACTTAACTCTGGAGTACTTATGACTTCGGCCTTCCATCGTTTGATGTCAGAAAATAAATACTTTCAACTCCTCGTTCTTAGCATCGCTTGAATATTAATGCCTTAAACGTCAATTTGTACCTGCAGATATACATTAAAGCAACTAAATATGCCTGCTATCCCTAAAGAAAGCGACTTCCCGTCATCTGTATCCGTCACCATCACCCCGCCAGACTCACCGCGATCAACAAATGTCCTCATCCTCCTACATGGACTAGGCGATACGCCTGCACCTTTCACTAGCTTTGCATCGGCTCTCCATCTACCCGAGACAAGCTGTATCGTTGTCCAAGCCCCCGTTCCACTGCCGTTCGACCTTCCCGGCTTTCATTGGGGTGACGACATCGTTTTTGAAGCGGACTCATTAGATCAAGACCCTGGCTTTACTAGGGCTACCCGCATGATAGTCGCAGATATCATACGGTCAACATTGATAGACAAGCTCGGGTACAAGGCTCGCGAGATACTACTTTTCGGGTTCGCACAGGGTGCGAGTGTTGCGCTGAGCGCAGCATTGGAATTTCATCTGTCAGAAGCTGGCCAGGGAGAGCTTGGTGGTACCGTTGCAATTGGCGGAGTGTTGCCTCTTTCAGCTATCAAGGAAAGAGGAAGTAGGCAAAATAAATCGCCTAGCCCAGTGCTAGTCTTGGGTGGTCATGGTGCGCAGAGCGCTGTGACGGATATGGGTGTTCGTCGAACGAAGGAGGAGTTTGAATACGTGGACGTGGTCCACTGGAGAAGCAAGAAGGAAGATACCATGCCTCGAAACAGGGACGAAATGATGCCCGTCATGCAGTTCTTCGCTAGACGGTTACGTAGCACCAGTGGAGTGCCTGAAGGAAGCGTGGAGCTTACTTAGACATGGGATGGTAATGTCTATTAAAAACAAATCCATGCAGTAAAAGGGGGTATAATTACAGAAGAACAAAACCCTTTTTTCACCTATAATACATCTGATAAGGCATTTCTGGCCCTCTTTATGCTTTCCTTAACTTCCGTTTCTGTAGGCGGCATCCCTGGTCTGTTTCCGTCACGTATTACCATTCTCATGGAATCTTCCGTATGCCTCAACGCTTTTCGGCCTTCTTCACGGATGTCTGTTTCCCAGGTCCTGCGGGCTAAGTCCCACTTTTTCTGTTGTCTCCAAACCGAGTAGATTAAACCCACTGCAGCAAAGGTTCCAGCCTCGCTAAGGGAAGTAGTAGTAGTGGAGATATATGTGAGAGCGGATAGTGCTGAAGTCAACCCGGTAGTTGACAAGCTGAACATGACTAGACTCTGTGCGAGAGAATGTAGTGGCATGATAGTGGATGCTGTGAGCTTGTTTCGGCTTTCCGTTATTTGTGTTTGCCATGGAGTGAACACAGGAGTACTGCGTGGAGATTCGGGTGATGCTTCTTCCGTAGTCGGAGTGCAACTTTCTCTATCCACAGAAGAATCGTCTTCCAACAATCGGGCTTGCTGGAATCGTCCGCCAATCCATAGAGCCTCCTTCTCAGCCCGAGTAAGCCACTGTTTTTGCAGCAGACTGGAACATATCATGGGAACATCATCAACTCTCCAGAACAATTTCCACCACACTAAGCTTTGCCAGCTCTTGCATCTGAAAGCTTCGTCTAACGAAGTCCGAAGCTCCTCATGAGCCCTTTCCGCCCATCCCGAGATCATGGCATTCAATGATTCTCGTACTTCTTCGGGAACAGAACTCGCTTGCACGTCGGCCAATGTTTTCTTTTCGTGCTGCTTGATTTTTGTATCTGCCTCATTCAACACGGAATCGAGCAGATACCGGATGTCAGGGGACACAGCTTGATCCGTGGGAGCCGCCGCGAGCCAGTCGATAATTGGTTGAATCCTGCTTCCGTTCCACCCTTCCTGGTAAGCCGTTGCATTTTGGGCTGACTCACGAAACTTATCCAACGCCACTTCAGCACGGTCAATATCAATAAATGAAACGTCTCCATTACCGTTCTCTGGAGCCTTGTTTAACGGTGCCTGGAATACTGCCTTTACTGGGCCAAGTTCAACTGTACCTGTCCTCCCAGTTAATTTAGCAAACGAAAACAGGCCATCGATCCCGTCACCGCATATTAATGATCGATGTACTGGGTATTGGATATGTGTGGCAGGGCTCCCGTCTGTAGATGGAATGGGTATTGTTGCATTCTGTAGAGAGTTCGCAATTGGCTCTTTTAACGAGATGATATTTGTTCCTAATGGTGACATTAGGATTTCTAGGTTCGCTTTCCGAAGCAAATTGGATGGTATCGAGACTGTCGGCAGAAGGCTGTTTCCTGACGATACCTCATATTTATTTCCGTATCTATATTGAGCCATTGCTGAGAATTAGCCCCATCTCATGCCTAGCAGACAAACAAAGTACTGACCTTATAAGAAAACTGCCAGAGTCATTGTTAGCACGAGAGTCAAGCTGCTCTTCCCATGCTTCTTTCGGGCCCAGCGGGTCAGCAAGTAGTAGCCGTACAAGCCTTGCGGAAGCCTGGGTACCGCCAAAGCCAAACACTAAAAAAGTAACATTTAATAAGTATAAAGAAGAGCAGCTACCAAAGCCGATGGGACATCCTCACGCACCTGCAATCCGTATCAATGGGTTCTCCGTTTCAATTCCTCTTTGCACCAATTCTAAGCTGCTCAAATTCACATGGTTTCCAGACGTATTTTTAAGATCCTCTAAAGCTCTATATAGCTCCTGGAACCTCTCGGGAATATTTTTTGTAGCACTGACAATCGATGAACCCGGAAGAGTCGAGGCGGAGCGCTTGATCGTTGATCTGGGCGTGGGAGCTGGCCCACTGGAGGAGAACTGGCGTATCTGCGAGCACGAGGGGCAAAAGAATAGCCAACTGGCTAGGAGCGGCGTCCTCTGGATGAGGGAGACATGATATTTCCCAGGCATTGGGGTTGGTGCGCAGGTGAGCTGCGGGTTGTCAGTTATGTCTCTCGTTATCTTCTTCGCAAAGTTGTCGATGCAGCAAACAAGCTTGTGTTTGTTCGATACAGGGACGGTAATGTATTGGATGACTAAGCAATCTATGCACCATAACTAAGCTTCGTGGCGGCAATTCTGTGATACATTGGGTTAATACACTGTATAGCAAATACCATCCTAAACACTCAGGTATAAATTACAAAAAGGGTGTAAATTGTAGCTATAGGTGGAATAACTATCATACAATGGTGATCGATAGTTTACATCCATGATGGATGGTGCCCTAAATCTTACTATACTGCTTTCACTGACAACTTATTTGCGAAAAGAATGAGCCGCCTGATTCCAGTACTGCTAAGCCTTGTAGCTATCAGTGCAAAGAAACTTCAAATCAAACCAGCCGTTTATTCCTCGTTGTAAGCAAATATTATTATTGATATTTTTTCTCTTCCTTTTTATTCCCATTTCCTCCCTAGTACAATACGTCAGGGGTCAGGAAAGCGATTGACGGCAGACGCCAGGAGGCCAGGCCGGTTAAGGGAAACGGAATTTATCAATTCCTTTTTGTTCGTGAAAAGCTTATTCAAGATTCATACAGGATATGCAGCTTTTGCATTTCTCCTAGTGGAATTAAGGTCTTGGTATCATCACCGGGGAGTCATTCAATCAATTCAAAAAAACAGTAAAAAAGAGCAAAAAGGTTCAGATTTGTCGAGTTCTGGGCAGGGGGTACGTTAAGCCTGGGAGTCATAATGATGGGATGAATGTCAAGGGATGGGTGGATGAGATAAAGATAGGACATCAAGATGACGGTTCTCGCTTTCGGGGTCGACCAGATCCAGATGACCTAGGTAAAAGATATTAGCCTGGACGGACAAGTGTTGAAAGAAAACAAAGCGGCGCAACTTACATGCTAATTCTTCGGGCGACGTTTGTCAGATGCGTGTCGTTAGCTGCCTCTTGGGCAGCACGTTCCAGCGCTTGTCGTCGATCCTCTTCAACACGCTTAGTAACTTCTTCATGGGTTGGTGGTAGTCGTTCGTTCTGCAAATCGACCTTTCGAGCGTCCTCAAAGTTGTGAATAGCTTGTTTAATACCTTCAGCGCCAAGCATAAGCGTTCCTGCTGGCAAACGTCCGCCAGTAGCAGTTTTAAGCTCAGTAACCCGCTCGGACTCTTCTCGGAGAACCTGGAATACACGGGATAGACGACCGATAGCAAGGATCTTGTTTTTGATAGCACGTCGTTTGAACTCGGTACTTTCGGGGTCGGTTGATGGAAGAGTTGGCGAGGGTGGAGCTTCAGATGCTGACAAGGGAGTCTCTTCCTCAAGTTCTTCCTTAGAGCAAGTGTTGAGAATGGCAATGAGCATATCCGTGATTTTCTCTCCAACGAACGGTAGTGACCAGGTAAAGACGTCCATGAAGTTGGGGAGCCAGTAAGGATGTGGCGAGCAGTTAAACTGGCGGATATTCATGACGTTGTTTTCATACTTGAGGACCGCAGCCTTATTGTTGTAGACATCAAGGTAATTGGGCGCACTAAAGATGGTCATAACACTTGGGAATCCGGTCGTTCGGGTTTTGCGGTACATTCTGTATCCGGCATCTTGAGCCTCGTGGGCTCGAATGATGGATAGAAGGTTGTTTTTCTCTAGAAATGCGCAAGCAGCATGATAGGAGAAGAAATATGAACATCCTCGGACATTGTTGTGGATGAAATGTTCACCCGTTTTTTCTTGACCAAAGTCTTCCAGAGGGTCGGCCCAAAGAATGTCGCACATCAGCCCATAGGTTGGTGGCTCCCGGAAACGGTCAATCTATAGCAATTGTGAGCATTCGTGTATAGAAATCAATACATGGGACACCTACTGTTTTCAAATCCTCCAAGGTATGTAGCTCAGGGCTCAAGCCGCCGTGGATACAGAGGAACTGTTTGTTCATTATTGCAGCCAGAGGCAAGGCGCAGAATGAATCGGTGCAGGCATCGTAAACTCTCTCGGAGTACTTGTGTTTGCACTCCAGCTTGAAGGTAAAGTAATCTGTGAGATGGCGACATTCGTGGTTTCCACGTAGCAACCAAAGACTGTTGGGGTACCAAATCTTTAGAGTCCATAGGTACAGAACACACTATGGGAATTATCAGTAAAAGTCCCTCAAATTGTCACATCCATCATTTCACTAACCTCAATACTGAAATAGCCTCGGTCAACATAGTCTCCAAGGAAGAGATATCGTGTCTCCGCAGGGTCTCCTCCCACCTCAAACAGCTTCATCAAGTCATAGTATTGTCCGTGAACATCACCACACACTGTAATGGGAGCATCCATCTCGAGCAAGTTCGGCTCTGACCTGAGGATTGACGCTCCAGTATTGATGATCCATAGTGCCTGCTCCTCCGTGAGACGACCTTCACGGAAGAAGTGCTGCTTGAGGAACTTCAGGTCTGGCTTGGTGGGATCTTCGCTGGACCAAAATTGTTCGTTCGTAGGTGTGTTGAAAGCCGGGGCTTGCACCTCTGTGATTGAACCATCAGCCAAATGCACAATGCAATATACTCCCTAAATGTCTGTGTGCATGTAGAAATGGAGAGAGGGGGGGGGGGCTTGTCAACTAACCCTTGCAGACACGCTCCTGTGTGGATACCTGCGTGCCATCTTCCATAGTATGGAGAGTGAAGTCAATCTCAGGGACGGGCTTCTTCTCCGTGACCGCTTGCACCAGTTTCCCTTCCATGCTTGCTGCTTGTTTGGCGGGTTGAATGGTGGCGCAGCCCGACTTCTCAGTGGCCTCGGAGGGGTACGGTACGATATGCCTGTCAATCTCAACCGTGACACGGGGTTCGTGAGGGGGCGCAGCTCTTCGATGGGCTTCTCGGCGATACTAGAGCTGGAGCATATGCGGTCGAGAGCGTGAAGAGTCGTAGCTAATGTCCGCAGCCAAGTTGGGGTCGTCGCGTGTTCGATGATAGTTAGTAGGGCTGACGACAAAAGTAGAGATAGACGGCGAGCGTGGGTGGCTTTTCGATTTCAGATAGTTGGGCACTAGTGAAGACCAGGGTCGCTTGGCTAAGGGGCGGCGAGGCGTCCGATCGAGCGAGCTGGTCGTGGATGTGCAAAGCTGCAGGCCGTGATGTAGATGTCCAGGAGCGGTCGCTGGTTGTCTTTCGAAAGTTTTGACGTTGGAAGAGTTTCTCGCTAAGGTGGATGCGGCTTTCGCGGCTCTCTTATTTGCTGCAACTTCCATCTCCCGCCCGCATTCACGAGCAACAACGACAGCAGCACCACCACCATCAACGTCATCGCTGTCAGGATCCAGAACCGGGTCGTAAACTACAGAAAATAAAAGGGCTAGGCAAGATGTTTGATTCAGAGAGTGAGTGGTATCACGATTTTAAGCCTTGTGGACGCTGCTAACGGCAGACTAGAACCTCATCCCATACTAGCCCAGATTCCGCTGACGGTCTCGCCGTTCATTTCTCTGCCTACGGCAACTACTCTGCCATATACATACAAGTCGATTCCTTCATCTCTCCCACCCTCTGTCACGGTCGACGCCAGCGGCTCAGAGAAACCAAAGTATGTTGTTTCGTCGAGTGGCCATGCCGCTCACCCGGCTGATATCCTCGCAACCTGCCAGGCGTTGGCGGACCACATGAAAAAGAGACACTCCGAGGGAGAGGCCGCAATCAAGGAGTGGGAGGAGTCCATCAAGCAACGGGACTTAGCTGAAAAGCGTCGAGTTGCTCCCGGATGGCTGGACCGGGAGGAAAAGCTTCTACAACCCACGCATGCGTCTGGACGGGCATCAACCGAAGCACATCAGAGTCTGCTTGACCGACCCGTTGCTGATCAGACGAATAAAGACACTTCTCCGGCAATGGAACCGAGAAGCGAGGGTGTTGAACTCGACCGTGCATTCGGCGGAATAGGACTGAAATGATACTATCTCTACGGCAACAATGTGAGGCACAATTATCGGCATTTGCCAAATGGTAACCAGACTATCTAATGGGTCTCAAGTAGAGAAGGTCTAGTTCCATAAACCGAATGAGCTCTTCTTTGCTCCAAGTCAAATGGCCTGGTTTTGCGACGAGAACCGCTACTTGAACCTCCAGCCTCGCTCTGAAATATCTGCTTAATTGAGCCTCATAGAAACTCTGGTTTATCAACCTATTCATCAACTTCGCCTTGGCTTTCAGCAACCACCAATGTTTCGTCATTCCAACTTCAGGTGTCAATAGTACTTGGTATTTGTGAAGTCGATGGTTGTCTTCCCAACAAGTTTGCCCTGTGAGGTGGTTTCAAACCTCAACACACCGTCCTGAGCTCCGAATATGACCTTCACCGAGAATTCAACGTGATATGAAAGCACTCCGTCGATTAATCTCTTCTCGAGGAGGTTGGAGTCAATGTCTGTGATGTCCACGCAGATTGTGCCGACTTTTTTGATACCTACATAACAAGTGATGTTAGAGGTGCTAAGTGAAGCAGGAAAAATCAATACATACTCGTGCGTTCAACCCGTTCAGGTGCCTCGTTTGAATCGCTTGAAAAGAGCACAGATTTAATTATCATCGAACGTCCAGAACGATATACCTGATTGTAATCAACGGTGTGCGTATGATTTTCGGTATATTTTTCTCCCTAATCCCCTTGTTAGCTAATATTGTCCAGGCATCTTCCATCTTGTCAACATGGGTGACCTACTTTGAAAATCATCCATTTCATGATCCCACCCACCATCTTTTTCCTTGTGAATTCATCGACGTGAGCATTTTTCTCACTGTCAATACCTTGGCGGAATGGTAGGCTTCATTTAAATCCATAGCGGCGACGGCATCTTTTTGTTGTTGCTTGAAGGCCCCAGAGCCCTCGAAGTGCGGCTCCCTTAACTATGGCAGTTTATCTATAGCATGGAAGCTTATTAGCTTGTGCTGGGTTAAATGGGAGCGTTCTGCTTACGGATTATCTGGGACAGTGATTATGATGCCACAGAAAGACTTCTCCATTTTCTCGCGGAGATACTCAGAATCGCCAAACCCGCCGACGAGGATTTTTTGCTTTTTCATGTTAGCTCAAAAGCAGACAACAGGGGAGATCGACATTAATTGGATCCATACAACAATTATACCGCTTTCTGCGTCCTCGGCGTCATCTATTTGCTTACGAACAAGCCCGATGACCTGATCCACGACTGGGTCAAATAGCTGTCGAATATCATCGCTAAACCGGCAGTTAGCTCCTACTCCCGCTTATACCTGGAGTACTTGCTTACCTTGAAAGCAGGACAAGGCGTTCTTCATCGTCAAAATATTCAGCCTTCACTTTATTGGCCCTCATATTGAGCGGCAGCTCGTAAATCTTGTCTTCTTCTATGTTAAACCCGAAGTCCTTCTTGATTATTTCGAATTTCCTCATATATTCACTTCCTGGACCTTTCTTTTTAGCCGGAAGCATATCAAAGGCTTTCCCAAATCGTCGAGACATAAGCCTGTACGAATTTCTGTCTATCGCCGTCGACCCGCATTTGCCGCCTACCTTAGGGTGGGCAACCGATTTCACCGCTATGATAATGGCATCCAATACTCACCAATTCCAGTGCAAGGCTCTTCAAAAGACAAAATGGGGTCAACTTTGTTGATCAAATACGTCGTAATATCCTTTTTTGGGCTGTGAGATAATACCCCATATTAACGGTTAAGGCTTACGTACCACTGTACCACCGCCGCAATCACATACCAAGACTCCATCATCAGGCTTGAAGTGAAAGTTAGTCAATGTTCAAATGTACCCATACTTGCGACCAACCTTGAAGGAAGCTCCGAGGCCATCTGTGGCCGTTTTGTTCAAAGCTGCAATAGCCGCAGCCTCCGGTTCCGTCACCATGGATATTTGGTCATTAGGCCGTTTAATGTTGTAGGCAAAGCCTGCGCGTTGAAGGCAGCTTTTGTTTGCGCTTTTGCTTGGTCCGACCAAATCGCTGGCACGGTAAACCAATATTCAATGGGAGTGATTCCAAGCATCTCCTTCGTGATCCGTTTTTCAATCATCTTTAATACATGGGCTCGGACCTCTTTAAGGAAGTCTGCTACAACACCCACTGCGGACTTGCCACAAGAAAGTTGCAAAATTCCCGTTTTCGAAGCTTCTTCAAGGGTTGGATCATCAAACTCTCCAAGTGCAATGTTCCGGTCCACTAGCAGCTTTGTCCAAGAGTAAGTGGTCATGCCAGGTTCAACTTGAAACCCCCATCGAATGGTACTGTTTGCTGGATTATCGAGGGGATAGGCAATACGTGAAGGCGCCTTGAAGACTGTTTCAGAGTCTCTTGATGGACCAGGCCACGTTCCAATGACGATGACATCTTTGGCATCACTGCCTGTTGTACTCACCTAACTGGCTCCTTGAACTACTTCAGCTTACTTTTCCAAACAATGACGGCTTCTTTGCCTGTAAACGTGGTTCCATAATCAATTCCAACCATAATCTTATGGCGCGATGTCGTTTGGGGGGACTTCCTGGGAGTTCTGGGTGCCATTTTTCTGGCTCTGCAGGGTGGCCACCTGCATGGGTGTCTTGATAAGAAAAACAGGAGAAAAGAACGAGCTTATATCCAGGACTCCAATTCTATTTAGCTAACTATTTGGTTCCTTCGTCCCTCTAGGAGACTGGTTTAGCTCGTGAAAAAATTTTTATTCAATGGAACTTCCCGCTAGTTATCTAAATTTCCCTAATCCAAGCTGGGACTTACTTCCGTTGCTATCAATTTCTTCATCTTTTCAGGTTTTGTAGGTCGTTGACTCCAGCATAACCCGCGATATGGAGACATCCACACGTGAAAGGCTTCGTTACCACGCTGGGGACGTTGAGATGACAGGACCACATAGTGTATGCTCATTTATTTCCCTCTTTTCTTAGATGTTAGTTATACAGTTGTTAATATCTTACAGCGCATCAAATGCAGCCGCAGCTCAGAATCGGAACGCCAGTCAAGCCCAAACATCGGTTCAATAGCAGAGCCAGTGTCCAAGCGTTTGGAAGATGTTAGTTCCCTAAACTGGCCTCTACTTATCTCATTCTAATGGTTATGGCATCCAAAGGAATCAGAGCCTCCTGTCGAGGCTGTCGTCGTCTGTGAAATGGATGTAGGATCCATGATGTCCCAGCTTCAGCAACTTAGATTCTCAGTTTGAAAACCGAGTGAATAAACATGACCAAGAGATTGGTGACCATCAAGCGACGATCGAAGATCTCAAGCGCGAGATCAAGGATCGTGATAATCGAATAGGTCAGCTCAGCCTTTTCTTGGAGAACCGTGCCACATCACTATGTACTCAATTAGAGATACCAAGCTCAATGACACCTCTGATGGGGGAACTGACAGAGAAATAGATTCACTCAGGCGGGAATTAATTACTTTACGCAACAATGAGGAACAATTACTGAATGACCTCCACGTCGCTCAAGAGGCTAATCTTCGCTCGATGAAAGCTACTTCGTGGATTCCAAAAGAAGATGGAGAGATTCGTAATGAGTTCTCTAGACTCGAAGAAAGACTAAGGGCATGGGTGAGAAAATATGTAGTCCAAGATATCAGCCGTCTGAGGCCCCTTGCGGACTTCGAGAAGAGTGCAATAAATGATCATCTCAAAGGCAGCATTGCTTGATCAACATTCGACTCCTTGTCGAATGAAATGGCTCCGCGTCTGAAGAAAAGATTCTCTTTTCTTATTGGCCACGCAATGCTCGCCGCATCCATTTTCGACCCGATGTTCTCTAACCCCTTTTTTGCGCTTCGATATTTTAACATGAATTCCGAATCTGTTTCTCACTCCGCGATGTTTGGTTTATACCAGAAAATGAGAAATGGTAGCTATAACCTCACCCTCCCGTATTATGCCCAGAGTAGGACTGATCTCTCCACAGCTTCCCCTTCTGAAGCACACATATGGCGCTCCCAGCTGCTGCGCTTTTTAACAAACCCTCAGCCAGGTTCGCCTGAATCATCATTGGCATCGCCACGAATCGTCGAAAGCTATAGTACCGAGATGGATGGCTAAACTATTCCTTAAAGGAGCCATAGGTCCGCTTCTAGAGGCACCCAAGTCGGGGGCAATTCAGGATGGCTGTCTGAATGATCTATATCACATCTTTGCCCATGCAATGCAGCTATCCTTATCGTTATGGTGTCGCAGAACTCAAATGACCTGCAACTCTATGTTCACCGGCAACACAAGGGTTTATCACCATACAGATTCGTCAATGATTGTGCATCGCATCCATCGGCTTGATGAGGGTGAGAACAAATTAGATGGCAAAGAGATTTTAGTTATCATTCAACCCGCAGTAGTTGCCTTTGGGAACGACGACGGAGAAAATTACGACAAGCGAAAGGTTTGGTCACCTGCGATAGTTCTTGTCAATGACAAAGATAATTAGTTTAGTTTCATAGCTATTGAATGCTTTATAGAGGTGTCTTGTCTTCTTCTTCATCGATTCCTCTTTCGGCGGTAAATAGTATGCATTTCACTAGTAGCAAAGGGATGACGTTGAAACAAAGTTTGACCTTAATTATTTTTCGCTCCACCAAGCTCCCCTCAACGCCGCCTCGCACGCCTCCATTACCCTCCAAAACAAACAAAAGGCACAGTCTGAGTTGGCCATTGAAGCAAGCAAAGTGCCGACACGGAAGCTTTAACTGATTACCACAATGGAAGTCCTCCATGAAGCCCCAAATACCTCTTCATTCGTACCTCTCGCGGAGCATCAGTCGCGAACTCCTGCCTCGTTCTACTCTGGACCACCCATTTTACACCACTTCAGCGAGAGATGCAAAGTGGTTATTCTGGAGCGTGATTTATTAGCTTCCCCTGCTCTGAATAGTCTGCGGTCGACTACGGTAGAGGGTTCATCGAATGGCACAGCACAGGGAGAACGCGGTGCCCCTGCAGGTACAACAGTCGATGAGGCAGTAGAGGATACCAAAGAGCTATCTCTCCCGGGTGTCAGTGTCTGGGCCACTTCTGAGTATGTTTCTCGCTCCCTCGTGCGTGGGATATTATACTGACTTCTAACAGAAAGCTATTGTTATTTTCTACGGAGACGTCCAGTGGTGTTGCAATCCCGTATCCGATAATATCTCTGCATGCGATCCAACGGCTTCCCCTGCCGAATTCTTCCGACAATGACACTGTGCAGGGCCTTTACATGCAGTTAGCCACCACGAGCGGAGGAGATGAGAATATGGATGAGGATGTAGACGAAGATAGCATTTCGCTCACCATCATTCCTCTGTCGGTCCCCGCTACCCAACCTACCGACCAGGAAACGTCAACTGAAGAAGAAGATAAAAAGACCCAGTCCCAAATTGAGGCTCTTTTTGAGGCTGTGTCTGCCTGTTCCAATCTTCACCCCGACCCTGTCGAGCAAGACGACGAAGATAGATACGAAGATGCGGATGAAGGTGAGGAATTCCATCAACAACTCCAAGGTAGTGCCTTGTTCCAAAATGGTCTGATTTTCCCTGGAAACAATGCAGGTGGCCTGCCTCCAGCCCTACCTGGAAGCGGTGGCTGGATTACCGCAGAGAATGCCCACGAGTATTTTGATGAAGATGGAAACTGGAAAGGTGGAGAGGAACCTCCCTTGGGTGCAGGAGCGGGTACCGTAAGGCCACGTGAAGATGACGATGAAGGAATGAATGAGGCTGATGCCGCGAACAACGCGAATGGAACGGCTGGGGATGAAACGAAGTGGCGAAGGACCGAGTGATTCAGTATTGCTCTACCTCTTAGTGTCATGTTCGAGCTCTACCTTGTGTGATTATACCCTATTCAAAACAGTCGGAGCCAGCCGTATATCGTAACTTCCCCCTGGCAAAAATACCAGAAATCAACAAAAGCATAACTCCTCAGAGTTTTAAATGTGTCGATTATACCCTTAGATCCACTATCGCCGTTCACACTTGACTGGGTCGATGATTCCAAATATAGAGTGCAATTACTGCAGCTAATTATGAAAAAAGCAGAACCGTTTTACGGGACAAGTCTACCTCTTTATGGATGCGATAGCTGATCAGTATCGTGTTACTTCCATAGGTTACCTCCTGGTTTCCAGGCTGTTCCCGCAGTGGATACCCTGATTTCGAATCTATAATGCGTCGCGAACGCCCGCTATATCCAGCCAATACCCTTTCCAATGAATATACTCACATTTAAGCTAATCCGAACATAGTACTACTTTTGGAGAACTCTATGCTCTATACTTGATAGACCATGACTAGCACACTGAACTTCATGTTCATTGCAAGTCTGCCCTCTGGGAATATCTCTATTAAAAATCCCCCCTCTCTAAATTTCTCTCTGATTAACTCTACCGAGTTATCTGGTTCGTGGTAGTGAAATCGACAGGCGATACCCTTCCACCTCTTTCCGGCACTCTGACCGGAATTGCAGGAGTTGACGGTCGAACAACACCCGGAATTCGAACAGAACAGGGCGGCGGAGCTGGTAATGGATGATGCAGCGATAAGGTGCCGTTCACCGAAGATCTGCGAGGCTCGCTACTTGCACCCTATTCATTCTTAGCCGGTGGATATAATACACATATTATCACCGCAACCACTAACCCTAGTTTCTGTTGGTGTAACTTTGGGACGTTCACCCCCAATATTGAATGGTCTTTGGACAGGTGTTGATCCTGATAAGGTAAAATTACTGAGCGGTATCATGGAGCCTGTACGGATGTCAGAAGCTATGCTGCTAGTATAACGGTTTCAAACTTACCACGCTCTCCCCTGTCTCTGGTTTTGCCTCTAGGAGTCATAACGGATTTTACTCCATAACATATCCATACACAAGACACAAAGATGAAGAGAACCACTGCCACTAAGACTAAGGTCAAAAGTACAAACTGGTATTCAGGTGAGTCGATCATGATGGAAAGCTCAGGGCAGAGTGAATAATCAAATCCGAACTGTAATCCAGGTCAAGTACGCTGCAGAGAAGATTAATGCTAACAGTACGCTGCTATTTATGAACTTGTAGTATAAGACAAATTAACAGATAGTCCGGTATTATTCAAAATATTGTTTGGCTATATATTGAGCACAAACAAACGTAAAACAGTCAACCATAATCAAAGAACGATACGTAGGTATACATATTTGTTTGGATATTCATCCCGATTTAATGTATACGCTGCGGTAGCAAACAGTATGGCGATGAAATCCCTATGTTTGGCCAGGAATACCTAGAAGTCAAAGACAAAACTTGAATTTCTACCGCAACCCAAATGGGCAAATTAAACACGTCACTACTCTGACACCACTGTAGGACTAATGAGTCTAGAGGAAATGGCTGTATGTGTAAAGTCGTATAACAAGCAGACAATCAACAGGACGGTATAAGCGGCGGGCCAATGAAAACGAAACGGCTCAACATTTAAAGAGGAGGAACATGTGCAATTTCAGTTCTCAACCTTGGTCCAACGGGCTTCCCCAAGAGGTTCAACAAGTTATCGATGATAGTCTTGGACATGACTTCCAGGGCTCCCGGCTGAAGCAGTGTCATAAAGATGGTGGAGGTCTTGCATCCTTTCTCAACATTTATTCCGTCAAGACGGTCCCTGAGCCAGAGTATTGCCTGTGGCGCCCCGGTGACAGCTAAAGTGGTATGTACAGATAGCAGGTCCCGTTTATAGTCGATAGTGGCACCGCCGGAGCAATAATTCTCCACCAGGGCATCAGTATCGGATATTGGACTAATCTCGTCATTTACCGATTTGAGAATGAGAATAGGAACCTCTGGTACTCCTTGCGGCAGGGCGTTGTGGTCTAGAATCGCCTTCACTCTGGGATCAGTAAATAAACCAGACTTCTCTCCTCCCTTAAAATAACGGAATATATCTTCCATTCTAAAATCCAAAGAGACTGCCCCGGAACACTTTTTAGCAGCACTCATGAATTTATCCCGTAGATGAGGCACGAGATATGACTCTAGAATGGGTTGCAAATAGAGATATTCTTTCGAAAGCCCAATAACACAAGACGACGATTATCCCGGCGTCAAATCCTTTGTTGAGACTATGTAAGGCCGTAGTAATGCTTGGAACGACGCCGCCTAGCGCTGCCCCGACAATATTCAGCTCCGGCGCGTAGGTGAGGTGCAAATCTGCAGCAAAAGCGCTCGCAACGCTCCCTCCAGATGTACCCCACAAGCCCACCGCTGCATCTGGGTCCACGCCTGTAAACCCAGAAGAAGCAAGGGTAGCTCTAATGCCATCTAGAGTTGCGTAACCTGCACGCCAATAAGCTAAGAAGGCAGCTACGGGTCCTTCATAGTCCGGTATAGTGACAACCCACCCGTTTTCAAGGGCCGCAGTTATGAGAAGCAGCTCGGTTTGTATGATGATCGTTCCAAAGAGGCCGCCTGGGTCTGAATGGAGCTGAAGAGCATATGAAGGGGCACAGTTGACGAATGCTGCGTCTTCGACAACTTGATAGGATATGATTTTTGACATGTTTGCATTGTGAGGAATAAGGATGGTCGAAACGGTGGCTGTTGGTCGTCCAAAAGTATCGGATGAACGATAAAGGACCTGATAGGTTGCGGCTAGGTCGATAGGAGCAGACCGGAATAACGAAATAGGAAAAGGAGGTCTGCGACGTCTCAAAACTGTTCCCGGCTCGGTTTTTTCATATCCTAGGGGAGGCTGGTAAAAGGGGTCTTCAGAGGGCGGAACAGGAGCATCCTGAGCTAGGGGGAGGACGAAAGTATCGACTAGTTTTCCATAGGATATAGGGCCGAGCAAGAGGATAAACAGCGCTGATACGAGTTGGGTGAGCAACATTATTGTTTCCACTCTTTCTTAGGTTGTTGTGAGGCTGGAAAGAACGGCACCTGATAGGTCGCGGCAGACCGTTATAGGGTATCATAGGAGGCGAGAAGAAAAGTGTTCATGATACAAGGACCATGATGACTGCTAGGTAGTGAGAGTTGCGGAGTCCATGCAGGAGAAATAGACATCCATCTATTAGGTATATACAGAAGCTCCATGGGAGCTCCTCCTGCTTCCATGCTAAGGGAAGGCGTGATAAACATGATTCTACTCGGACGGAAAGGAAGCAGCACCGCAGAAGCAATGACTAGACCAGTAGTTACAACTAGTCAATGATATTAAGCCTATGGACTCGATAGACACATGGATGAGATCACTCGGTGCAGTCTGACCTGCTGCTAGAAAGTAGATGAGAAAATGATGCGAAGTGATGGACGTAAGCGCTTAAATGACCGCCGACCAATCAAATATGCCAAACCAACGACTTCATCCGAGTCATTTTCGCGCGCTTAGTCATGCGGCTAATCTCGCTTGGGTATAAAATCGAAACCTCAAAAAACATGCCCGAACGACATCGCAAGAATCGGGAAGACTTGATATCCCAAGAAGTCGAGAATAAATGTATAACTTCGCTTGAATTTCAGCCTGTAAGGGCCAAGATTAGTATAGATTGTCCTCTGCATCTTTATATCCTCTTTCTTCCCGCCGTTCGCGTAGGATTTGCCGGATTGCGCGGTTGCTCTCCCCACGCACATTCGAGGTCTCCCTATGTTCGACTCTGTCCATTCTTGCTTCTTCTTTATCAAGCCATGCCTGGGCTTTCAGAATAAACTTGTCTGAAAATCTTTGGAGCGCTTTATACCAAGCAATGCTTCCATGCCCTTCATCCTCGTCGTCTCCAAGCATCCTATCCAGCCTTGTTTGTGTAGGATGCACGATATCATTTCTCAGTCTCCCAGAGGTAGGATGGAAGTATTTAGATACACCATTTGAAGTCGTGGTAATTATGTTGTCTAGGGAGTGGCGACTATCGTCAGGTGGTGGTTGGTGTACCGGTTCCGCCGGGTCCCTTTCTTGCTGCTGAGGTGTTTGCCCACTCTGTATATAATGTAATAGGAATATACCTTCATTATCGTTGTCATCCTCCTCCTCCTCCTCCCCCTCCCCCTTCTGGCAGTCCTCATCGTCTCCTAGTTCAAGCTCCTGCAGTTCATATTGTCCCCCGTATGCCCCCACGTCTATACCACGATATCTGTTGTGTCGGCTAAGCCCCTGTTCTGCGTCTCTGTGTCTGCTCTTTCTTGCTAATGGCCACCCTCCCCGTCGACACTTCGCAAACAACGATCGCCCCTTCGTCACCGCCGCAACAATATACTTCCAGCCAATGACTACAGCTAGCAAGATGTATATTGCTACTGCTAGAAGGGGGATGAAGTCAACCATGAAGATAGCATAGGTAAGATACTCCTCCTGCTCTGTGTGCGACTGGGCATCACGTCGCCCCAGTACTGTGCCAGCTTGTAGTGACGTCGATACACGCCGAACGAGGTTAACGCCGTCCATGCTGCAGTGGGTAATTCTTTCTGAGAGAATAAATCGATGATGATGCGGTGACGATGCTGCTGTCGAGCTATCGAGGTTGTGCTGTGACGTTGCAGGAAGTTGCCGGCCAAGTCGAAGCCCCAGCAGTGAAGGAGAGCCTCGCAACACCTCGCCGGCGCAGGAGAGCAGGCCGGCAGTCGCAGCTTCAACGTGGGCGAGCCCGTAGACCCTGACAGCCAGACGCAGCGTGATCCAGAGAGACCTCGCCGCCGCCCCATGGCCGCTCTTGCAGAGTCGATGATTCCATCGTGAACCACAGATCCCTTCTTCTGTGCGTCATTCCTTAGAATGCTACAGAAGGAAAGATACCTCTGAGCTGTCAGAAGCCCTGCACCTCGTCCAAGGCATTATGAGCATGATCTCGGCCAAAAGGGGTCATTTGGGGCTGGGAAAAACGGCTACGGAATCTGTCTTTGCAGCACCTTTCATTTGGTGGTGATTTTGACCCTTTTCAAGCCCGTTCAGGGGCTGTTTATGAGCATTGATACCCCGAGTCTGAAGCTCGCCGTCGACAACGGCCATGTACTCCTCGCTTCAGTGACATCACGACTTGTACTTTAGCACTGCTTCAACCATGGAAAGCTCACATCCTCACGTCGTGATCCTGCCATTCGTGGCAATGAAATTGGTCTATATAAACCCCGTCCTCGACTGGAATCCTCCTTCTTTTCTTTTCATCTCAACATCTTCTCCAAAGCAAGCATATCCGCAGAAAACACCGCCAAAAGAGCCCTTCTTCACCTCGTTTCTTGCAAACACCACTGCCAGCGGCTCTCCTCTGTCCTACCAAAGGACATATATTTATATTTATATATTTATAAAAAACACCAGCAGCAGGGTTAGCACCTCCTCCACCTCACCGTCCTCTCATCCCCTTCCTACCTCCTATCAGATATCCATAGCTAACCACCCCTTACTTGCACTGCAGCAGCCAAAATGCCTGCTCGAAACAACAACAACGCCGCCGGCAACAACAACGCCGGCAACAACAACAACGCCGGCAACACCAACGCCGGCAACAACGGCAACTCCAACGGCTGGGGCAACGCCCGCCGTTTCATCCTCACCCTGTCGCCAATCGACAGGGTGATAATCTATGACACCCGGACTAGAGCCATCACCCAAATGGCTCTCAGCGCCCGACGTCGACTCCGCCCCCGCAACGTCACAATGCCGTTGCGCAACAACAACAAGGGGCGTAACAACCAGGAGGAGAAGAAGAAGAAGACCTAAATTGTTCTGTCTCTTCTTCCCTCTTCCTCGTGTGCATCTTGCGCACACCACAAAAAAAAAAAAAAAAAAAAAAAAAAAAAAAATTTGCTTTGAATATTCTAAGTTCTGTTGCTTGTTTGTATGTATGCACGCATGTATGTTTGCCTGTCCTGTTAACAATCATGTACCAAAAAAAAAATTGTTAGTTAATAAAAGTTTTTGCTGCGTTCTACTTCTATCTCTATCATCTCCTGGTAGTCACTGTAGTTGTAGCTCACCGTAGTCACTATAATATGTAGTAGCCTTGTGCGATAGTATGTCCTCATCTATAAGTGTAATATAGAGTGGTCTGACTGGTGCACAAACATGCTTAATCTACTTACTATATCTATTCTCTAGCGTAGCCACATACGTAGGAAGGCTTTACACTTAGTTGTAGTGTGGTTACCCACCGTTAGCAGAGTCTATAAGTACCAAAAAAGGGGCTGTGATATTCCCCCCCCCCCTAAGGTGATGACCCGCCAAACCTCCTACAAGGGATAAGAATACTTGAAAAGAAAAGCCCATTTATTAGAGCATGACTGAACAGAGTCCTAAACAGTTTATGGGTCTACTAAAGAATGATTTTCTGCATATCCAGACTCCCAAGGAAGAACGCCTATTTAAACACGATAGCAACATATTCGACAGCCAGAATACATCGTGAGAACAATAAAGGATCGTAAAAGAGAGAGACAAAGGAGAGGAAAGAAGACGTTTGGCCTACGGCCATTCAAGTTTTTGGACAACAAGGGGGTATAAAGAAAAGAATGAGAAAAATGAGAAAGGAAGCTCAGCAGGGCCACAAACGCGCACAGAAAGTGATAAGATAGCAGCCGTATAATATAGGACATTAGATCATCTCCGCACAACGGGTACACCGTTGCTTTTATTCATCCATCTCCACATCTTCCCGTTGAGCTGGCATGGGGATAGGAACCTTGCGGTCCAAGTCATCCTCGAAGTAAGGAGGTTGTGACATGTTTTGTGTGTTGGTATTATTATTATTATTGCTGCTGCTGCTTGCAGATGGCCTCTGTCGTCGTAGTGTATCACACCAGTTTTCGGCGCTGACGAGGGTATCGTTTACGACGTTACTGACCTGGCCCATCATATCAAGGCCTTCCTCAGCCAGCACGAGGACGCGGAAAGCCCTCGTTCTCATCTCTGATTCAGGAGCAGAACCATCTGCCGGTATGTTGGAGTTGAACGCGATACGGAACCGCTGCGGTAGAGATGTGAGGTGTCTTCGCACGAGGTTGCGGGCATTCTCAGGTAGGGCTCCGCCGGCGTACTTGGACACAACGTCGACCACCATCTTCAACGTCTGCAGGACATCTCCTTTGACCTGCTGGATTTGCTGAGACAGTAATGCAGGGCTTTGCTGCTGACCGCCTTCTTCACTTGTCCTGTTTTCCGTATTAAGCTGGTTAGAGGTATCCCATTCCCTGAGTGCTTCCTTGAGACTGCCCACGGACGCCCCGATCCGCCTATTTGCCCACTGCAGCCAGGTGAGGCAATAGGTCAAGCTTCTGAGCGATTCTTCGCTCATTGCTACTCCGAGACCCGAAGTGGAAATCATGAGCCGGTTTTGCCAGGAATATTGGGTCTGAGACTGCTGCTGGGGTTGCTGATTACCCTTGTACAGCTCGTCGTATTTCGGGGAAGAAGCGTTATCATAAGGTGGTAGGGGTTCAGACGAAAGGGTTGATGACCGTCTTGAATGGCTGGTTCGGAGGTCGTGCATGCCTTTCTCGATATCTGCTGTCTCTGCAGCCTGAATATTGCTATTGGAACTGGAATTGGCGTTGGATTTGTTGTTGACGCTCTCCCTACGCTGAAGGGCCCAGCGGAGGCCGCCTTCAACTCCGGTCCGCCGGCCAACTGAGCCCACGGTGTTCAGAACTTGGGGGCCAATGTTCCGCTCAATGAACTCGGCGCCGTATCTGAACTTGGGAGAGTATGTTTTGGACGATGTATAGACTGACATGGAGCTGTTGATTGCGGACGAAAGCAGTGGGTGTGATGTGATAAGGGATAACAACGGCTCTGGCTCTGTGGTTTCCGAGGCTTGAGAGGTGGAGTTATTAGTAGGCCTTGAAGGAGCAGGAGTATGCGTGTATTCTGGTTTGATTACAGCATCAGTCAGACAAAGACTTCGAAATTAAAAAATAAAGGAACACAGTTGGTTGACACGGAAAAATTGTCGTACCTTGAGCGTAGCCCTTCTAGAGCCTGAGCGGGCCTCAATTATCGTCCATGGAGATG